CCATTTAAAAGGGAGAGTTAGGCCAGACCAGCCTGTTGGAATAAAAACATTTTTAGGGCGCGGCGGAAAGTACGTAAATCTTGGATCCTCCGTATCTCCGGGGGGAGCTCGTTCCTTGATTGGCTTCCATCCGTTGCTTCTCATCCTGCCTTCTGGGGCTTTAGAGAATAGCTTGACATACACCCTTCTTCTTTGTGGGAGGGTCCACCTATTCTCCAAAGCACCTGAGGGTCGGACAAGAAGCAACAGATGGAAACCAATCAAGGTGAGAAACAACCTGGAATTAAGGAGAAAGTTCCTGACAGTGAGAAGAATAAACCGGTGAAACTCCTTGCCACTTCTTGAGGTTCTCTTCGAAGTTTGTATTGGGTTGGGAACAAGGGGGGAGGGGGTCTTCCTGGTCACCCCACTGCCAACCAAGTTAGGACGGTGTCTGCAAACTGTTGAACAAACCCACAATCTTGGCTTTGAGGAAGCTCACGGTGGTCTCCCCTTCTCCGCCAAATCCTCCGATCTCAGCTTCTTGGCTGGAAAAAACAGGCGAAGAGAACTGAACGGACACTTGAAAAAGCCGAAGAATTTGGCCGGGTTGAAACAGCTCACATTGGTTTTATGCCAAAGCCATTTGTGTTGTGTTGTCGTGTCGCTTCATTTCGGCTCTAGATAAATGAGCCGGCAAGCTGTTACGCCTCTGAGTAATACAGCTTTTAAGACAAGTGGACTTCAACTCCCAGAATTCCCCAGCCAGCGAAACATAGCCATAAAATAATTAACCACAGTTAGTCCTCAATTTAACAATCACAATTGAGCTCAGATTTCTGTTGCTCAGCGAGTTTTGTCCCATTTTACGATCTTTCTTGCCCCTGTCGTGATGAAGGGCAATGCACTTATTAACTTAGTAACACGTCATTAAGTGAATCTGGCTTCCCCATTCACTTTGCCCCTCAGAAGGTCGCAAAAGGGGATCACCTGACCCCGGATAACTGACTCATCATAAATACGAGTCAGTTGCCAAACGTCTGAACTTTGATGACCTGAGCGTGGGGCTGCTGCGACGGTCATAAGTGTGAGAAAGCCACGTCACTTAAAGAGCTGGGGCCAGAAAGGTTGTAAAATGAGGCAAAACTCACTTAACTGTCTCGCTTAGCGACAGAAATTTTGGGCTCCGTTCTGGTCGTTAAGTCGAGGACGACCTGGAGTTAACTCTTTTAACAAAATACATTTAATTATTTCTCTATAAAAAAATAGGAAGAAAGTATGGAGTCTGAAATATAACTCTTAAAAGTATTAAGAATTAATAGTATTCTTAATACGATTCTTTTAATGGAGAGAGGGAACCGAGAAGGCCAAAGGAATAGTCTTCATGAGGTCCCCTCAGCAGGGATGCAACCAAGAGTATCGTCTTTGTAAGCTGAGAGTTTGGCAGCCCCAAGTTGATATTGGCTGAGCTTGGAAAAAAAATCGGTGGGATCAGATCCGGCTCGCTGGGTGGGAGGAGGGGGTGCAAAACCCCAGGGCTCTAAAGGCAACTGAGAAGTTAAAAGGAAAACTGTCGAGGAAGGCTTCCGGGAGGCCTCCCAGAAATCAGCAGGAATCAAGCTGGACTTTGAAGTGTGTTTTAAAAATCTGCTCGACATGTAACTCTACAAAGAGATGGAGCAGTTCCAAAATAATTTTATGTCTGTGTAACACAATCTTCCCTTCTATATCTCTCTCCTGCCATCTAGTGGCCAATGGATTCTGAATTTGGTCCATGCAGTGTGTGTGTATATCTCATCCAGCCATCCACTCTATTATCTATATCTGTCTGTCTATCATCTATCTCTACCTATCGTCCATTCATCAATCCATCCATTCATCATCCATCCATCATCCATCTATCCATTCATTCATTCATCCATCCATCCATTCACTGTTACCTATGTCTATCATCTATCTCTACCTATTATCTATCTATCTATCTATCTATCTATCATCAATATCCATCCATCTATATCTATCTATCTACATCCATCCATCCATCCATCTCTATCTATCAATATCCATCCATCCATCTGTCCGTCCATCTATATCTATCTATCTATCTATCTATCTATCTATCTATCTATCTATCCTATCTATCTATCTATCAATCAATCATCTCTATCATCCGTCCATCCATCCAGATTTCATGAAGAAGGAAATCATCATACCATTGTGACTCCCATCCATTACTGGTTTACTTTTTTGATGGTCAGGTTCATTCATAATATTATAAAGCAAGCCCAGTCTCAGCTTGCAAAGCTTTCAAGTTGCCATGAGCAGGAGGGAGGCTCATGAATTAATTAGGGCATCTTTCGGAAACTTCACACCCAGTACATGTCCCACCAGAACGATTTTTATTACAAACACACTAAAGACAAAATGACTGCAAACGTGCGATCCATCCTTCCTTCCTTCCTTCCTTCCTTCCTTTCCTTCCTTCCTTCCTTCCTTCCTTCCTTCCTTCCTTCCTTCTTTTAAGAACTCAAAAGTCTTCAAGAAGGATGCGAACCATGGAGGGAACTTCAATGTTCTCTGGGGGACTGGCTGCGTCCTGCTCCATCGTGGGCAATTCTGTGAACTCTGCAATGGGCCCAAGTTCCCACACTTTGCAAAGAGGACATATTAACCCCTCGGGGGTTTTGTTGCCATCCGTCTGCCAGAAAGAAGTTGAAAGAGAGAGAGAGAGGGAGAGAGAGAGAGAGAAGTGAGGTTAGCAAGACCACCAGCATTCATGGAACATGGCTCTAAATAGCATCGTCCTGATCCTGGAGCAGCTAAGAATATTTGTAGCTGAGGGTTAAACTGTGAAGCATCCTGACTTCTGCCCAGGAAGAATCCCTAAACCTGGTCAGGAGGCTGGAGCTGGAGCTGGCCGAGCAGAAGATGGCCTTCCAGCAGAGCCAGGAGGAGGTTCAAGAGCTGAGCCAAGAGTTGCTCCGGGCGAGAGCGGCCCAGGCCGAGCGAGAGCAGGAGAGGCAGGCCGAGGAGGTCAGGCACGCCCTGGAGGTGGCCGAGAAGAACCAGGAGATGGTCGAGCTTCAGAAAGCAGAGCAGGACCTCCATGCCAGTTACGAGGCTGTCCAAGCGGAGAACGCCCAGCTGCAGCAGAAGGCGGATGTGCCACCAGAGAGCCCGCCTGATGACGCTTCTGCCATGCAATTCGATTTTAATTGGTTTTAAATTTTATACATTTATGTGTTTTAATATGGCTGTTCACAGCCCTGAGTCCTTTGGGAGAAGGGCGGTATAGAAATCTAATAAACTTGAAACTTGCAAGGTCAAAGGAAAAAAACCATCTGTAAGGAAGCAGCGACGTCCTCCTGAAGGAATCAAAGTAACAGAAGAGAATATTTGTAGCTCAGGGTTGAAATGTGGGGTCCTTGGTTGCTCTCTGAGCTTGGTGGTTTTCTTGCAGACGTTTCATGACCCAACTGGGTAACATCATCAGTGCTAGAAGGGAGTAGGGTTTGCGGAATGGAGGAGGAGGAGAATTGTGTTTTCTTTGGTGGTCTCTGAGCTTGGTGGTTTTTTTGCAGACGTTTCATGACCCAACTAGGTAACGTCATCAGTGCTACAAGGGAGGGGCGTTGCCAAGACAAAGAGAAGGAAGGAAGGGAGGAGGAGGGGGAGGAGAACTGCGGGGTCTTTGGTGGTCTCTGAACTTGGTATAGTAGTATAGTATGATTTTATTTCTATACCGCCCTTCTCCCGAAGGACTCAGGGCGGTGTGCAGCCTATTTAAAACACAAGACAAACATCAATTAAAAATTATTAAATAAATTCGGCTCAATTTAAAACCCCAGAAATTTAAAATACCCCAATTTAAAATTATTATGTTGATAGCCCGGCAATCCTGGTGGTTTTCTTGCAGATGTTGCATCACCCAAAGTAGGTAACATCATCCGTGCTAGAAGAAAATAGGGTTTGCAGAGAGGGAGGAAGAGGAAGAGGAGGAGGAGGAAGAGCACAACGTCCATTGGTTGAAGTATGTTCAATACAAAAAACTTTTAGGATATTAAAAAGTTAGATGGCTTGCTCTAACACCTGCTATAGAACGTGTTCTACAATTATTTGAGCCTCCCCATATTTTTTAAGTTTAGACAAATGTCCTAAAATCCTGGAATCGTTTTTCAATATTGAAATATCTGAGATATTAATGTATTTTGTACATAATCAAGCATCTATTTTTTTCACAAAACGATTCAAAAGATTGAAGGTGAACACATTTCAGCTACAGAAGTTAAGTCTTATTTTGAATGACTTTATCCTTCAATATAAAACTCGATTTGAAGAAAAAATTCTTCCTTTAGTTATAAAAAGAAAATTGTCAAACTTAAGAGGAACCAAATCCGGGCATAACGGAAAAGTTTATCCAAGAAGTGCAGAATTTTTAGCAAACATGTTTTCAATAGATCAAATAATGGTCTGAAACAAACATCATAGGAAATAACAGTTTTCAATGGTGTTTTTTGACTTCATCGCAAATATATTGGAGAGATATTGATTCTTGTGTTGAGTTTTTATCTAAAGAAATGCCAGACATTAAAATAGACAGCAGTTGTCTCTTTGAAGAAATTAGAAGACTGAGTGTATTTTTAAATTCTGAAAAATTAATGCGATGGGAAAATAAACACGTTGAAATCGATAAAAAGATGGGTGGAAATATTCAGCCATTTCAAAAATGAACATATTCCATGTGAAAATTTATTTATTCTTGTTCAACTTATATTGTGCTGCCCTGGAACTAATGCAGCAGTTGGAAGGGATTTTTTTCCAGTTGCTAATGATTTTTGGAAAAGTGAGAAATGGAGATTGAAATGTTGATATTCTAGCTGCAGCACTTGCCGTAAAATTCAATATGAAGGATATTCCTTGTTCAGATATTTCCAATATATTGTTAGAAGATGATACACTGACAAAACATTCATTCAATGGAAAAGTACTTATTTAAATAATAAATAGGCATGTAAGCATAATTACAATATAAAATGTTATTGTTACAAATATTTTTATTATGCATTTATCATATTATATTCTGTATTATTGTTGCAATGAATAAAATGTTTCTTTTATTTACAATATTTTTTTCTTCAATTTATTTGTCTTCTTTCTCATTGTAAAAAAGTTGGTCACCTTACTAGAAAGCCTGAGGGAGAGAAGAGCCTAAAAAAACTGAGGGCGAGAAGGGCCTAGAAAGCCTGAGGGACAGAAGGGCCTAGAAAGCCTGAGGGGGGCTGAAAGCCTGAGGGACAGAAGGGCCTAGAAAGCCTGAGGGGGGCTAGAAAGCCTGAGGGACAGAAGGGCCTAGAAAGCCTGAGGGGGGCTAGAAAGCCTGAGGGACAGAAGGGCCTAGAAAGCCTGAGGGAAAGAAGGGCCTAGAAAACCTGAGGGAGCGAAGGGGCTAGGAAGCCTGAGGGACAGAAGGGCCTAGAAAGCTTGAGGGAGAGAAGGGGGTAGAAAGCCTGAGGGACAGAAGGGCCTAGAAAGCCTGAGGGGGGCTCGAAAGTCTGAGGGACAGAAGGGCCTAGAAAGCCTGAGGGGGGCTAGAAAGCCTGAGGGACAGAAGGGCCTAGAAAGCCTGAGGGGGGCTAGAAAGCTGAGGGACAGAAGGGCCTAGAAAGCCTGAGGGGGGCTAGAAAGCCTGAGGGACAGAAGGGCCTAGAAAGCCTGAGGGGGGCTAGAAAGCCTGAGGGACAGAAGGGCCTAGAAAGCCTGAGGGGGGCTAGAAAGCCTGAGGGACAGAAGGGCCTAGAAAGCCTGAGGGGGGCTAGAAAGCCTGAGTGACAGAAAGACCTAGAAAGCCTGAGGGAAAGAAGGGCCTAGAAAACCTGAGGCAGCGAAGGGGCTAGGAAGCCTGAGGGACAGAAGGGCCTAGAAAGCTTGAGGGAGAGAAGGGGGTAGAAAGCCTGAGGGACAGAAGGGCCTAGAAAGCCTGAGGGGGGCTAGAAAGCCTGCGGGAGCGAAGGGCCTAGAAAGCCTAAGGGACAGAAGGGCCTAGAAAGCTTGAGGGGGGCTAGAAAGCCTGAGGGAGAGAAGGGCCTAGAAAGCCTGAGGGGGGCTAGAAAGCCTGAGAGGGGCTAGAAAGCCTGAGGGAGAGAAGGGCCTAGAAAGCCTGAGGGGGGCTAGAAAGCCTGAGAGGGGCTAGAAAGCCTGAGGGCGAAGGGGGTAGAAAGCCTGAGGGACAGAAGGGCCTAGAAAGCCTGAGAGGGGCTAGAAAGCCTGAGGGAGGCGAAGGGCCTAGAAAGCCTGAGGGGGGCTAGAAAGCCTGAGGGAGGCGAAGGGCCTAGAAAGCCTGAGAGGGGCTAGAAAGCCTGAGGGAGAGAAGGGCCTAGAAAGCCTGAGGGGGCTAGAAAGCCTGAGAGGGGCTAGAAAGCCTGAGGGAGAGAAGGGCCTAGAAAGCCTGAGGGGGGCTAGAAAGCCTGAGAGGGGCTAGAAAGCCTGAGGGAGGCGAAGGGGGTAGAAAGCCTGAGGGAGGCGAAGGGCCTAGAAAGCCTGAGGGGGGGCTAGAAAGCTTGAGAGAGAGAAGGGGAGAGAGCCAATCGTAACTACTCATTAATTTTCAAACTGTGTCAATTTATCAAGCCCGATCACATAGTTTCGTAGCGGAGCACAGCTATTCAGCTAGTAATATTCTAAAGCAAGCCCAGTACACGTCCAGGCCAAAACAATTTTTATTACAAACACACTAAAGACAAAATGACTGCAAACATCACTTTGTTCCTGAAGAACGAATGAGAAAGGGCGAAAGAGACATTGGAAAGAGACGGAGGGTTTCCTTTCTAGGCACAACAATTTGGGAAAAATTACCCTTTCCTTTTTGCAAAAAGTTTTTTTTTAAAAAAAACAACTTCACTGTATAAAAAATGCAGCCCCAGGGCCCTGGCGTTAGTGCAAGGCTGCTAGAATGGCTTAAATCTATAAAAACTTTGCAAGATATAAAAAAACTCAGATTTTTTTGGACTTTTAAGAGCACCAGCATTGAAACAGCCTCTCTCACAATGGAAGACCACGAAGAGAACCAGAAATAAAACTTTATATCCTTTCTATTGTTCTTTCAGGACACAGCATGGAAAGCCAGTGGGTGATAAGTGAGCCTAAAATCCCACCAGAATTTAAGGTCTGATCAGTTAAATCTACAGGCAGTCCTTGACTTAAAACGGTTCATTTAGTGACTGTTCAAAGTGGTGCGGTGGCCCGGAGGTGGAGCTCTCGCCTCACAATCAGGAGGCTGTGAGTTCAATCCTGCGTAGAGGCAGATATTTCTCTCTGGGCACAATGAGAATATATCTACCGAACAAAACTCTGCATTGGCGACAGGAAGGGCATCCGACCAGTAAACACTCAGCTCCATTCAGTTGCCCCGACTCCATTCCTCAAGGGATTACGGGGTCGTTCAAAGAGGAAGATTTAGTGACTGTTCCAAGTTACAACGGCACTGACAAAAAAGTGATAATGATTGTTTTTCACACCGCACCGTTGCGGCATCTCAACGGTGACGTGATCAGAATTCAGATGCTTGGCAGCTGACTCATATTTATGACAGTCATAAGCGTCCCACAGTCATGTGACCCTCTTTGGTGACGTTCTGACAAGCAAAGCCCATGAGGAAGCCAGATTTCATTTTACTGAACAACGGCGGTGATTCACTTTACAACTCAGGAGAAAGAAGGGTCGTAAAAAGGGGTCAAAATTACTTAACATCTGTCTCACTCGGCAACAGAAATCTGGCGTTCTGTCAGGGTAGTGAACTCTTTATCGAGTCCTTTTTTACCATTTTTTGCCTTGCTTTCTTTTTCTTGAAAAACGCCCAGTGCAATTTCTTTTCTTTTCTTTTTCCTTTTCTTTTTTGAGGAACTCAAAAGGCTTCGAGGAGGATGTGGACCATAGAGGGAACTTCAATGTTTTCTGGGGGGCTGGTTGTGTCCTGCTCCATCGTGGGCGATCCTGTGAGCTGTGCAATGGGTCCAAGTCTCCACACTGCGCAAGAAGGACAAAGTAATCCCTCGGGGATTCTGGTGCCGTCCGTCTGCCAGAAAGAAGAAGTTGAGAGAAGAGAGAGAAAAAAAAGTGAGGTTAGCAAGACCACCAGCATTCGTGGAACATGGCTCTAAATAGCATCGTCCTATTCCTGGAGTAGCTAAGAATATTTGTTGCTGAAGGTTAAACTGTGGGGTCCTTGATGGATTTCTTGCAGATGTTTCATGACCCAACTAGATAACGTCATGAGTGCTAGAAGGGAGGGGCGTTGCCGAGACAAAGAGGAAAAGAAGGAAGGAAGGAAGGAAGGAAGGGGAGAAGGAGGAGAACTGCGGGGTCTTTGATGGTCTGTGAGCTTGGTGGATTTCTTGCAGATGTTTCATGACCCAACTAGGGAACATCATCAGTGCTAGAAGGGAGTGGGGTTTTGCAAAGAGGAGGAGGAGGAGGAGGAGAAGGAGAAACAGGAAACGGAGAAGAGGAAAAAAGAACAAGGAGACAAGGAGGAGAATGATGACTGTGGGGTCCTGGATGATCTCTGAGCTTGATGGTTTTCTTGCAGATGTTTCATGATCAACTGTGTAACATTCATCAGTGCTAGAAAGGAGTGGGAGTTGCAGAGAGGGAGGAAGAGGAGGAGGAGAAGGAAGAAGAGCACAAGGTCCATTGGTTGAAGAAACTGTTCCTCACCATAAGTTTCATCCAACGTTTTTCTCCCAGAACAACCACAAACGAAAGGAAGATGAGAAGGCGAGAAAGAAGCCCCTTCTTTGGGGCAGCCCCTCAAATACTGGAACCCTGCTATAATGTCTCCCCTAGTCCTTCTTTTCTCTAGACTGGCCAAACCCAAATCCTGCAACCGTTCTTCCTATATTTTGGTCTCCAGGCCTTTCATCATTTCATAGTTGCTCTTCTCTGCCCTTTTTCCAAAGTCTCCACATCTTTTTTTTTGTAACGGGGTGACCAAAATTGGATGCAGCATTCCAGGTGTGGCCTTACTCGATTATATTCCGGAGCCAGTTGCTTACTAAGCCAAGATACGTACGTAAACAAAATTCATCCTTTCGGGGATTAGCAGAGAATCTGCTGGGATGGAATTGCAGCAGCCGTGCTCCGAACACCAGAGTGACATCTTCTTGCACACTTCCTCGGTTAATTCAAAGCGTACGTAGTATTCCTTGGGGGAAAAAAAACCAGAAGTGTTTAGCCAGCTTGGAAACCGAGAGGCTCCTTTCTGAGCACTGGAATACAGGTAGCCCTCGACTTACGACCACAATTGAGCCCAAAATTTCTGTCGCTAAGCGAGACATTGGTTAATTGAGTTTTGCCCCCGTTTTACCACCTTCCTTGCCACAGTTGTTAGGTGAATCACTGCCATCGTTAAGTTAGGAACATGGTTGTTAAGCGAATCTGGCTTCCTTGTTGACTTGGCTGGTCAGAAGGTCGCAAAAGGGGATCACGTGACCCCGGTCATAAATATGAGTCAGTCGCCAAAAGTCTGAATTTTGATCGTGTGACCATGGGGATGCCGGAATAGTTGTAAATGTCCCATTTCAAGTCATAAGTCATATTTTTCAGTGCCGTTGTAACTTTGAACGGTCACTGAATGAAATGGTCATAAGTCAAGGACTGCCTGCATTGTGAATGGCTTTAACTCACCTTGGTGACTTTTAGGATATCGGCAAGAAATCTGGACATGACGAGACGCTTCTTGGCTCGAGTGACAGCGACGTACAGCAAATTCCACTCATCTTCCGGAATGGCTTCTGGGAGAGCTTAAGAAAAAAAGGGAAGGAGGGAAAAAATAGAGTTGAATGGGAATTCTTTGAATGGATCTGCTCCAAACACACATCTGAATTCTTCAGCACCAAGTGGTGCTCCATCCCAGCCACCAAGAAAGGGAGGTGTTCCATTGTTAATCAACAATTAGACATTGCTATCAGGGCTTCCCTAAAAAGGAGAGAAAGGAAGGGAGGGAAGGAGAATGGAAGGAAGGAAGGAAGGAAGGAAGGAAGGAAGGAAGGAAGGAAGGAAGGAAGGAAGGAAGGAAGGAAGGGGAAATAAAGGGGAAAAGAAAATGGAGGGAGGGAGGGTGAAATGAACAAAGGAAGGAAAGAAGGAGAAGGGAGGGAAGAGAGGAAAGGGAGAGAGGAAGGGAAGGAACACGGGAAGGAAGGAAGGGGAAGAAGAAAAAAGAAAGGGAGGGAAGAAGGTAAGAAGAAGGGGAAAGGTTGGGACTTAGCCCCAGCAAGGCTGGCTAAAATGTACCCAAACCTAAGCCCAAACTGCTGGAGATGTAACCAGTACCAAGGTACTTTCTTTCATGTCTGGTGACTATGTCCTGAAGCGAAAAAGTACTGGACAAAGATACGACGTTGGCTGCAAGACCTAATAAATTATCAAATTGAGCTAAATCCGGAAACATTTCTCCTGGGAATATCAAAAACTAAATTTGATTAAAAAAAATAAGATCTAATCCTACATATATTAACAGCGGCAAGAATTGCATTCACGCAATATTGGAAGGAACGCAATTTACCACCAGAGGGACTGATCATCCAGAAAATATATGAATGTGCCGAAATGAAGATACTTATTACCCTAAAATTAAAAGAAAAAGATGATTCGGAATACTATGAGGTTTGGGGAAAATAGTATAGACAGTAGAAATAAAGAGAGGTAATATACACAAGGAAGTTGAGGATTTGACATTAAATGTATAAATATGTATATAATGTATATATTACATGAATTGTTAATCCAAAGTACACAAAAGAGCCTTGGTGGCGCAGCAGACTAAAGCGGTGTTAAGTAGCACCAGCTGCCTGCAATTACTGCAAGTTCAAATCTCACCAGGTTCAAGGTTGACTCAGCCTTCCGTCCTTCCGAGGTAGGTAAAATGAGGACCCGGATTGTGTGGGCAATAAGCTGACTTTGTATAAATATGCAAAAGTATGAAGGCTATTGCTTAACGCATTGTAAGCCGCCCTGAGTCTCCGGAGAAGGGCGGCATATAAATCAAACCAATAAATAAATAATAAATAAATAAAAATGACACTGTCTGTTTGACTATGTACTAGAGTTATGGAAAAGAAAAACTACAATAAAAATTACTTTAAAAAAAAGAAGGGGAAAGAAAGGGGAGAGAAAGATGGAGGGAGGGAGGGAAGAGGGAGAGGAAGGAAAGAGGGAAGGAAAGAAGAGGGGAACGGAGGGAGGAAAGAAGGTAGAAGATAGAAGGAGGTAAGGAAGGAAAGAAGGAACATGATATAGAAGAGGGGAGGAAGGAAAGAAGGGAGGGAGGGAGGGGGAGGAAGGAACATGATAGAGATAGAAGGAAGGAAGGAAGGAAGGAAGGAAGGAAGGAAGGAAGGAAGGAAGGAAGGAAATTATACTCACCAGGTGGGTTCCGAGGAAACCTTCCAAGATAGGGCCATGTAAACGGGATGCTGACAAAGTCACCAGATATTTGGACGGTGTCAAATTCCAGCCCTTTGGCCTTGTGCACAGTCCCTAGGATGTAATCTAAAATACAGAGAGAGGAGAAGCAGTGAGACCCGTAACAGCTAATTTCTAAAGCTTTTCACCAGTAGCAGAGATCTCAAAGAAAGGGGGGCCTGGAAGCCTTCTCCAGCCTGAAGCTCCACAGATGCTCAGAATAAGAATGGGTCCATTCCATTCCCACTTTACTCCAAAGCGACTTGGTCAGGACTGAACAGAGATTCAGTGGCCCTTCTGCTCTCTGAGCTCTTGCAGACGTTTCACGACCCAACTAGGTGACATCATCAGTGCTAGAAGGGAATGTGGGTATTTTGACCCGGCTCCCCAAACACGACAAATCCTCTGTACTTGAAGCAATGATTCCTTTATTAGGAGCGCCAGTAGCTCCGGCAAAAACAAATTCTCTCTCACCGCAAGCTAACAAGTCCGTCCATCCGGGAGATGAATAGTTGTCTGCCCCCTCTATTCATCTCCACCCCCTGCCTTGTATCCCCAGAGCTACGGTGGGGCTTCACTAGCAGTGGTGGCTCTTCCGTCCCGAGGACCGGCCCATAGATTTCCACTGCTCTCCTCTCCTCTGCCTTCTGTGCATCTGTGTGTCAAGCACTGGACTCAGCTGTTCCTCCTCCTCATCAGCCACTTCAGACCAGTCGGCTGGTGCGCACATGCACGCTGGAGCTGAGCTAGGGCAACACTCGTTTGTCCACCAATATGTCTCCGCGTACTACCTGTGGCCCCCGTGCCACAGGGTCGCCATCACGGTTATAGGCAGACAATAATAAAGTAGCTAGTTTGAATTCTATATATGTGGATCTGGTTGTTCGCACATGCTATTTACCTGCATCTTCTGGATGCCAAACATGGCACTGGCGTATCCTGTTTACCAGCTCCGGAATACGTTCCCGGTATTTCTCCACAATTCCAATTTTTATTTCCAGTTGTTTGTCTTCTGATTTTTCCGCATAGTCCTTGATGCTGGCCAAACCCTTCTCAACCCACCTCTTGATGAAGAAATCCTTTACCTCGAGTTTCACTAGGAAGATCAAACAAGAGAATTTGTCTTTTGAAAAAGAGGCAGCTGGACTTTCTGTTTTTTTTTTTCTTTTGAAGACGTTTCGCTTCTCATCCGAGAAGCTTCTTCAGCTCTGACTGGATGGTGGGGTGTCCTTGCAGACAGCTGGTCATTTGCATCCTTTTAGGGAGATGTTGAGGCCACTTGGAGGTTGATCTCTGACCTCCTTCCAACCTCCAAGTGGCCTCAACGACTCTCGGAGAGAGTGCTAATCCCAGGTGAAATTATAAAGTTATTTATAAATTATAAACCACTTCCTTGTGCTTCATGATAGAATAGGAATAGGAATGGGAATAGGAATGAATGGAATGGAATAGAATGGAATGGAATAGAATAGAATAGAATAGAATAGAATAGAATAGAATAGAATAGAATAGAATAGAATAGAATAGAATAGAATAGAATAGAATAGAATAGAATAGAATAGAATAGAATAGAAAATATGGAATGGAATGGAATGGAGTGGAGTGGAATGGAAGGGGAGAAGAGAAGAGAAGAGAAACAGAAATAAGAATAGAATAGAATAGAATAGAATAGAATAGAACAGAACAGAACAGAACAGAACAAGAGAATGGAAATGAAATGGAATGGAATGGAATGGAATGGAATGGAATAGAATAGAATAGAATAGAATAGAATAGAATAGAATAGAATAGAATAGAATAGAATAGAATAGAATAGAAAATATGGAATGGAATGGAGTGGAGTGGAAGGGGAGAAGAGAAGAGAAACAGAAATAAGAATAGAATAGAACAGAACAGAACAGAACAGAACAAGAGAATGGAAATGAAATGGAATGGAATGGAATAGAATAGAATAGAATAGAATAGAATAGAATAGAATAGAATAGAATAGAATAGAATAGAATAGAATAGAATAGAATAGAATAAATAACTTTACTGTCACTTTGAATGTACCCTAATCGGCATACATCAAAATGAAATTTCATTGCTCTCAAAGGATCAGAGAATGGAGAAGAGAAAGTGCCACCTTGATTGGTATAAACAGAGCTCATATTTTACACCCAGCAGTTGTAGGAATTCTTCCCTAATGTCTTCTTGATTTTCTATACAGGTAGTCCTCGACTTACGACCCCAATTGAGCCCAATATTGCTGTTGCAAAGTGAGACATTTGTTAAGTGAGTTTTGCCCCGTTTTACGACCCTTCTTGTCACTGTTGTTAAGTGAATCACTGCAGGGGGTTGTAAATGACTGAGCCATTTGAGACTCTTACTACATATGACCATAGTAGCCAGGCTCCATTACGGTCGTATGTTGAGGACTACCTTTACACAATTTGCACGACTACAAAAATGCCGGTTGAGAGAACTCACATTCAGGATGAAGCAGCTTCCAGAGGTCATGAATCTTCTCAAGGCCAAAGGCTTTAAGACCCTAATTAAAAGGAGACAACAAAAACAATATCAAGTAGAGCCCTGTGAGATGGGAGTTGTAGTCCAATCCACAGTTGTAATTATCTGTCTATATTTTGGGGCTCTTTAATGTACTTCAAATAGTCAGATGTGTCTGCAGAATTCAGTATGTTTGCAACAGGCTGCAAAACATAGCAATCTTTCAGTATTGAAAGGGTTATCACAGAGGGAGAGGTTGTCAGGAGAGGGGGAGGGAGAGAAGGAAGGAGGGAGGGAGGAAAGAAAGCAAGAAGGAAAAAGAGGGGAAGGGAGGAAGAAAGGAGAAAGAAAAAAGGTAAAATGGAAGGAAGGAAGAAAAGAAGGAAGGAAAAAGGGTGAGGGAGGAAGGAAAGAGAAAGGAGGAAGGAAAGAAGGAAAAAGGGTGGTGCAGTGAGGAAGGAAGGAGAAAGAAAGAAAAAAGATGGAATGGAAGGAATGGAGGGAGGGAGGAAAGCAAAGAGGAAGGGGAAGAGAGGAAGGAAGAGGAAAAAAGGAAGGAAAAAGTGAAATGGAAAGAAAGAGGGAGGGAAGAAGGGAAGGAGAAAGGGAAGAAGAAAAGGAGAAAGGGAGGGGCATGGCAGAAGGAAGGAGAAAGAAGGAAAAAAGGTGAAATGGAAGGAAGGAGGGAGGAAGGAAGGAAGGAGAAAGGAGGAAAGAAAAGGCGAAAAGGAAGGAAGCGGGGAGGGAAGACAGATGGGAGGGAGAGCGGAAGGAAGAAGGGAAGAGAGGGAGGAAGGAATCCCTACTGCACCCTTCCTGGGCCTTCTCACACTCACCCCCAGCAAGTGTATCTTAGCAGGTGAGTTTCCACCTGTAACGTTCACCGCATCCTCAAAGACGGTTTGGTTGTTCCGGGATAAGCGAGCCACCTTCCCCTCCACGCCGACCCCACTGACGTCACCTGTGGAAAACAGAGCAGCGTGTCAGTCCCACTTAGCAATTCTTACCGGAGCGATAAAAAGGACGACTGGCTGGAAACACTCACTTTCCTGGTTGTTTCCCACCAGGGTTTTATTCCCGACTTTCTTGCAAACATCCAGAAGGGTTGCGCCAACGTAAGCTATTTCGGAGCCAAAGCGAAAACTCTGGGGAAGAAGAAAAGGATCCTTCAATAGATGTGCCATTTGATGGGCTTTCTTCCCCCTAAGCTACGGCTGGCTCTCATGCCTAAGGTGGGACTAGAACTCACCGTCTCCTGGTGATCAGCCCAAACTCATCCAGCTGGCTTTCATCCCTAAGGCGGGACTAGAACTCACCGTCTCCTGGTGATCGGCTCAAAGTCACCTAGCCGGCTTTCATGCCTAAGGCAGAACTAGAACTCACCGTCTCCTGGTGATCAGCCCAAAGTCACCTAGCCGGCTTTCATGCCTAAGGTGGGACTAGAACTCACCGTCTCCTGGTGATCGGCTCAAAGTCACCCAACCGGCTTTCCTGCCTAAGGCAGAACTAGAACTCACTGTCTCCTGGTGATCAGCCCAAAGTCACCCAGCCGGCTTTCATCCCTAAGGTGGGACTAGAACTCACTGTCTCCTGGTGATCGGCCCAAAGTCATCCAGCCGGCTTTCATGCCTAAGGCAGAACTAGAACTCACTGTCTCCTGGTGATCAGCCCAAAGTCACCTAGCCGGCTTTCTTGCCTAAGGCAGGACTAGAACTGGAGTGGACTCACAATGAGATCCATGAATTTCTAGGAATCTTCTGGATTGAATTGCGTATCTTCTCCAATTGGAATTATGAGATTGCTTTCAATTGGAACTAGAGAAGATCACAATTTAGATCCATGAATCACTAAGAACTGAATCCTCCGGGCTCTTCGATCTACAGCTGACTCACAACTCCCAGTCAAACATCTCAGCTCGCCTGCCCTTCTTCCTCGGCTTACCTGCGTCAGGTAGAAGATGCGGCTGTGGGGCACGTTCAAAAGTGAGTTGACAGCACCTCGGAAGGTGTAGATCTGTTGGTGTGGATCTCCTACCAAGATCACCCCACATGTTTGCGAGAGGACAATGTCCATAACCGCTAGAGAAAGGGGGAAAAGAAGAGATCTTTAGAAGCTCAGTGTGGAATGGAGACCAACGTTCTCACAGGAACAAGACCCTCAAAAAGAGACAGTGGCTTTAATGAGCCATGGATTTTAATCTTTACCATAAATGATCGGAACTGGAATTTCCAAAGCAGGAAAGAAATCTAGAGGAAATTGCACCCCTCTACTCCAAAACTCAAGGGACGTGCTGGCTCAGTGGCTAAGATGCTGAACTTGTCGATCGAAAGGTTGGCAGTTCAGCGGTTCGAATCCCTCGCGCCGCGTAATGGGGTGAGCTCCCATTCCTTGTCCCAGCTTCTGCCAACCTAGCAGTTCGAAAGCAGGTAAAAAATGCAAGTAGAAAAAATAGGGACCACCTTTGGTGGGAAGGTAAGAGCGTTCCGTGCGCCTTTGGCGTTGAGTCATGCTGGCCACGTGACCACGGAAACGTCTTCGGACAGCACTGGTTCTTTGGCTTTGAAACGGAGATGAGCACTGCCCCCTAGAGTCGGGAACGACTAGCACATATGTGCGAGGGGAACCTTTACCTTACTCCAAAACTCACCAATCATGAATCTTACAGAGCTTTCCATAATACAGGGGTGTTAAACTCAAGGCCCTTCCTCCTCCTCCTGCTCTTCCTCCTCCTTCTCCTCCTCTTCCTCCTCCTCCTTCTCCTCCTCCCTTCCTCCTCCTTCTCCTCCTCCTCTTCCTCCTCCTTCTCCTCCTCTTCCTCCTCCTCCTCTTCCTCCTCCTTCTCCTCCTCCTCTTCCTCCTCCTCCTTCTCTTCCTCCTCCTTCTCCTCCTCCTCTTCCTCCTCCTTCTTCTCTTCCTCTGGCAGCCAAAATGGGGCACTGTTTTCGGCCTGGATGGCCTCCTGCAGCACTCTGCCAGCCAAAAAAGAGTGGGGTGGTGGTGCAAGGGCCTCCTGTGCCCCGTTTTGGTTGGCAGGGTGTTGCAGGAGGCCGTCCAGGCCGAAGAAATCCAGTTTGACACCCTTGCCCTAATATTAGATCACAGTTTCTCAATGTTGGCAAGTTGAAGGTATGTGGACTTCAATTCCCAGAATTCCCCAGCCGGCCAGAGCCCTTCCTTTAGACTTGTCTCCTCTGCAAAAGGGGTCTTAAGAATTATTTCTCTGCCAAAAGACCAACCCAACCATGACAGGTCCAATCCTCATCTTACGACCACAACCGAGCATAAAATTTCCATTGCTAAGCAAGACCGTTGTTAAGTGAGTTACTGCAGTTGTTAAGTTAGTCACACGATTGTTCAGCAAATCTGGCTTCTCCATTGCTTGTCAGGAGGACGCAAAAGGGGATCACGTGACCCCTCACCCCCCCCCCTTGGGACATTGGCGACTGTCATGAGTCAGTTGCCAAGCGTCTGAATTTCGATCGCGTGACCACGGGGATGCTGCAACGGTCGTAAGTTTGAAAAACGGTCATGTCACTTTTTTTTTCAGTCCTGGTGAAACGTGGAATGATCACTAAACGAATTGTTGTAAGTCGAACATTTATTGCAAGTTTAAGCTCTCTACAAGAATCTGACCAACTCACAGTCAAGGGAAATGAGCGGGAGATAAGGCTTCTAGTTGGACTTCCGGTTTGGCGTCACGGCGAGACAGTCGGAGAAATAGTGGGCTCTGATGAGCGCCGCGAAAACCCCGGCTGCCGAACCGCTGCCGATGGGTCTTCGGACCAGAACCGTCCTGTAGGGACGGGGAAGAAAGAGGGGTGCCTCGGACGACCAAGAGGAACAAGCAAGTTCCTCGGAGGTCAGAGGGAACCCTCTGTGAGTCGGCAGCGGGGGATGGCAGCCATGGTGGCTGCCACGAAGCTGGGACAACCGGGCTGAGAGATGTGCAGGAGGAAAGTGAATTGAAACGGAGCTCTTTGAAGCCGGGTGAGTGACAACCAACCCAGGCTTGTAACAACGCTTAGAGCAATTTTTTTAACCATAAGACCCCTAGCCATAAAACAGCGGCTGTACCACAAAGGGGCAATGGAAAGTTTAAAATGTAACTTTAAAGAAGAAGGCCTCTAGTTCTCGACTTACAACAGTGACCATTCAAAGTTACAACCACTGAAAAAAGTTATTTATGACCGTTTTTCACACTTATGACTGTTGCAGCATCCCGAGGTCACGTGATTTACATTCGGATGCTTGACAACTGATTCACATTTATGACGGTCAGTGTCCCCGAGTCACGTGATCACTCTTTGCAGCTTTTCTGACAAGCGAGGTCAACGGGGAAACCAGATTCACTTAACAACCGGCTGACTAACTTAACAAACTGCAACGATTCACTTAACAACCATGGCAGGAAAAGTCATAAAATGGGGCAAAACTCACTTAAATAATTTTCGCACTTAGCAAAACATAAATTTTGGGCTCAGTTGAGGTCGTAAGTCGAGGACTGCCTGTACTTGAAAAACTGAACCCAGAATCTACACCTTCACTCACCGGGGGTGCAATCTTGGGCCTCATCCACCAAGATGGCGTCGTAGTTGGAAAGAGAAGGCTTCTGGAGTTGCCAAAGTTTCAAGTAACCTAAAAGACACAAGACATTCAAATCAGTGTACAATAAAACAACATTGTATGATTTTGGGTTCTTGGGCTCCTGCAGAATCACAGCTCACGATTATTTTAAAAAGGAAGCACTATAATTTTCTTTTAATACAGCGTTCCCCAACCTTGGCCACTTTTAAGATGTGTGGACTACCTATAACAATTGTAATAATTTGAATATTTTCAATAATACATTCAATTAAGCAAAAAGAAAAGAAAATTGAAATGATATAGGATTATGATTTACTAGATAAAACTCATGTAACTGGTTTTTATATAAATGGTATTGTTAAATAGACAGAATTTAGGGAAATAATTGTGAATTGTATTATGTTGTGTTATTTGAACTAAGCACTCTGTTTAAACCTCAAATTGGTATATTTTCAAGATTAGAGATAAGATTTAAATCTGAGGAAGTAACAATTAAATAAAGATTTAATGAATATTATATGAAGTAATAATACAATATAAGGAAGTTTTAGAAATGGAAATAAGATTTAGAAATATAAACATGGTTTGAACTGTATTGTTAATAGTGAGTATTTAGGGTAAGAATTGTGAAATGTAGTATGAGGTATTAATTGAATCAAGATTTAAAGTGGATTAATAGAAGGGTAATTGCTTTGATCAAGTTAATATGAGTTAGCTTTTTATAAGATGGTAATAGTTGAGATATGTGATAAGTATTATGGCAAAAATAGAATATATAAAATTTTGTTAAAGATGAGCAAAAAGTTGAACAAATTTATGACCGGATCAATGCTCTGTTCTGAAAAGATGTATTGTATGTTTATTTGTGCATTTTAAAAAAAAATTAAAAAAAAATTAAAAAAAGGATGTGTGGACTTCCAACTCCCGACATGCTGGCTGGGGAATTCTGGGAATTGAAGTCAACAAGTCTTAAAGTGGCCAAGGCAAGATTAGAACTCACCGTCTCCTGTTGATTGGCCCAAAGTCCTCCAACCAGCTTTCATTTAATGTGGAACTAGAACTCACTGTCTCCAGGTGATTGGCCCAAAGTTACCTAGCTGCCTTTCATGCCTAAGGCAGGACTAGAACTCACTAAGTCGTCCAGCCAGCTTTCATGTTAACGTGGAACTAGAACTCACTGTCTCCCGTTGATTGGCCCAAAGTCACTGAACTGGCTTTCATGTTAAGGCGGAACTAGAACTCACCGTCTCCTGGTGATTGGTCCAAAGTCACCCAGCTGGCTTTATACGTAACGTAGGACTAGAATTTCCCTCCATGAAGAAAATAGCCCCTTTATTCTTATTTTTTTTTCTTCCTGTTTCTTCAGCAAAGCTAAATGCCCCCAACCTTCCCTCACATATTCCACTTACCGTCGTGCGTCATTCTGTGTGCCACCTCCTCGGTTGGGCCCAGCTCTTTCATCTTGGCCCATATTTGTTTCGCTTCTTCGACAATGATCTAGAAAGCAAAAGCTGGTAAGAGGATCTTGCTGGTGAAAAGATTCAGATCCAGAGTTTTCTCATCTAGGCTGCCCAGTGATCTTGAAAGGAGAAGGAAGGTCTGGATCTATAGCTAGTCCTCGACTTACGGCCACAATGGCTAAGCAACAGTTGTTAAGTGAGTTTTGCCCCATTTTACGACCGTTCTCAGCACAGTCGTTAAGTGAATCGCTGCTGTTGTTAAATGAGTCACACGGTTGTTAAGTGAATCTGGCTGTCCCCCATGGACTTTGCTGGTCAGAAGGTCGCAAAAGACACCAGGGTACTGCAATCGTCATAAATATAGTCCCTGACTTACGACCACACTAGAGAACAACATTTCTGTTGTTAAGCGAGACAGTTCTTAAGCGAAGTTTGCCCCACGTTGCAACCTTTCTTGCTGTTAAGCAAATCACTGCAGAAGTTAAGTAAGGAACAAGGTTGTTAAGGGAATCTAGCTTCCCAATTTTCCTTGCCAGAAGGTCGCAAAAGGGGGATCTCCCGTGACCTCAGGAACTGTCATAAATACGAGTCAGTTGCCGGTTTTGATCAAATGACTCTGGGGATGCTGCAACGGTTTGTCAGTATGAAAAACTGGCCGTAACTCGCTTTTTTGCTGTGCCATTGTAACTTTGAAGTGTCACTAAGTGAGCTGTGGTAATTCGAGGACGTCCTGGACACGCTTAGATGTGAAGGGTCTGAATTTGGAATCGCGTGACCAACGGGGATGCTGCAAACGATCATAAGCGTGAAAAAAAATGATCCCGTCCTTTTTTTCAGGGCCGTTAATAACTTTCGAATGGTCGCTAAACGAACGCTCGTAAGTCGAGGATTAACTGTCCCTGGTCTGGAGAACCAAACACTCACGTGTTTTTCGTGTTCCTCCACAAGGACTTTTTGTCCACGGTTGTTCTTGCACCAAATGGGCGTGTGTTCCACGGTGATGGCCACATCCGCCGAAGCGAAAAAGGCAGCGAGGGTCTGAACGACCGTCTTGGCTCTGATGAACGGAGACTGGCCCTGGCGATTGGAGAGGACAAAGCTGACCAGGTAGGAAGTCAGCGAGCCCAGGTTAAGCTTCCGTCCGTAACTGCAGCAGAATGAAAGAGGGAAGGTGGAATTAATCATCATCTCCTTTTAACGACCCCATAATCCCTTGTATTGGGGTGGAGTGTGAGCGACTGAACGGAGCTGAGTATTTACTGGCCGGATGCCCTTCTTGTTGCTAATACGGAGTTTTATTCATCTATATCTATATTTTCATTGTGCCCCTATCTAGGATTGAATTCACAGCCTTCTGATTGGGAGGCCATGTTCTGTCCCCGCCCCACAGACACACAAACAGCCAGCCGGGGGTTAAAGAAGTACTCGGCACACACAAGGTTCGTTATCAGGAACTTGGCAGCAATACGATAACCGTCTGCCAAGTGCTTTACTACAAGAAGAGGGAGTGTTCCTCCACCAGATAACACCAACGGATACACACAGTTTTCAAAACAGTCCAGCTCAAACATGAAACCTTCAGCAGATCAGGCGTTGTACAAAGTGACTAGCCAGAAGTTAGCTTTGTCCGTCACAGAGTCTAAATGGCCACCACACTCTCTTATATAGCCTGTGGGGTGTGGTCCAGTGACTCAGCTTAATCCCTGGCACGCCTCCTCATCTGCTGCAAACGTTTATCTCGCCTTCGTTGGCGTGGATCCAGGAACGACTTATCTCCCTCATCGCTGTCATCGGAGACACCTGGCTCCTGGTCAATCTCCTCTCCTTCGGCAGACACCTGAGGCATTGCCAGAGAGGAGGGGCCTGGAGAGGGAGGCCTGGCCGGCTCCTCTCCTTCATGTTCGGAGCCTTCTTCCCCCGATAAGATGGGCTCAGGGGTCGGAGCCACAACAGGCCAGAGCTCCACCTTTAGGCCACTAGACCGGAAGGTGGAACTAATCCTGACGTTAAATCTCTGCTTATTTGGGTGCGGATTGCTGGCAAGGAGCTTGTAGGACACATCCAGGCTGAGCCTGAAGGAGGGGTCAAATGCGTCATAAGTCACGAGTCCCTGCGTGCCCGCAAGAGATCTAAAAAAGATGTCGAGAGTCTGGAAAGAGTGCAGAGAAGATTAACCAAGATGATTAAGGGACGGGAGGCTAAAACATACGATGAACGGTTGAAGGAACTGGGCCTGGCTAGTCTAGTGAAGAGAAGGACCAGGGGAGACAGGAGAGCATCTTCCAATATTTGAGGGGCTGCCATAGAGAGGAGGAAGGGGGTCGAGCTATTTTCCAAAGCACCTGAAGGCCAGACAAGGAACAATGGATGGAAACTGATCAAGGAGAGATTCAACCTGGAAATAAGGAGAAATTTTCTCACAGTGAGACCAATCAACCAATGGAACAGAAGTTGCCTTCAGAAGTTGGGGAGCTTCATCACTGGAGGCTTTCAAGAGGAGATTGGACTGCCCCACTGATTCCCTTAACGTGGCCGACAAGGTCGTAAAATGGGACAAAACCAGGGGTGAAATCCAGCAGGTTCTGACAGGTTCTGGAGAACCGGTAGCGGAAATTTTGAGCAGTTCGGAGAACCGGCAAATACCACCTTCTGGCTGGCCCCAGAGTGAGGTGGGAATGGAGATGTTGCAATATCATTCCCCCAGGAGTGGGGAGGGAATGGGGATTTTGCAATATCCTTCCCCCAGGAGTGGGGAGGGAATGGGGATTTTGCAGTATCCTCCTGGAGTGGGGAGGGAATGGGGATTTTGCAGTATCCTTCCCCTGGAATGGGGTGGGAATGGAGATTTTGCAGTATCCTTCCCCTGCCACACCCATTAAGCCACACCATGCCCACCAAGCCATGCCCACAGAACCGGTAGTAAAAAAATTTTGGATTTCACCACTGGAGAAAACTCAACAATTGTCTCCCTCAACAGCCAAAATGTTGGGCTCAATTGTGGTCATAAATCGAGGACTAACTCCCTGTAAAGAAGACCCGGTCACTTACTGCCTGCCGACTTCTGCAAACGCTAAGGAGTGGATGGTTTTACAGGTGACGTTGGCAGGGAAAACCTGCGACGCCTGTTGTGCGATGGTCTTGTTGAACGCCAAGTACAAGAAGTTCAGCTCGGACCACCTCGTGGCGTACTGGATCAGAGTGGATGTTTTTCCAGTGCCTGCGTGAAAAATTAAAAACATTTCAGTCCTTCTGGGTTTGTTGTCTGGGGTTTTTTTTTAGTAAGACCGCACCTGGAATCCTGCATAAGGGGTGCAGTGGCCTAGAGGTGAAGCTCACAATCAGGAGGCTGCGAGTTCGATCCCAGGTAGCGGCATATATTTCTCTCTCTTTGGAGCACAATGAGTAATTGTGTGCTGCGAACTCAGCATTGGTGACAGGAAGGGAATCCGGCCAGGAAACATTCAGCTCCATTCAGTTGCCCCAACTTTTTTTTATCTTTATTAGATTTGTATACCGCCCTTCTCCTTTCGGACTCAGGGTGGTGAACAGCCAAAATAAAAACATTTGTACACAAAAGTTAAAATCATTTTAAAAATAATTAAATGAAATTTGGCCCATCATTTAAACATTTCAATTAAAAATCAGTATCAAACGTTAAAACCAACATGGAATCAGGCCAGCCCGGCTAACTGAAAAAAGTAAGTTTTTAGGGCCCGACGAAAAGTCCAGAGGTCTGGGATCACTCGTATCTCTGGGGGTAGATCGTTCCAGAGGGTAGGTGCCACCACAGAGAAGGCTCTCCCCCTGGGGGTCGCCAGCCGACACTGTCTGGCGGACGGCACCCTGAGTAGGCCCTCTCTGTGCGAGTCTACTGGCCGGTGGGAGGCAATTGGTGGCAGAAGGCGGTCCCGTAAGTACCCCGGCCCTAAGCCATGGAGCGCTTTAAAGGTGGTCACCAACACCTTGAAGCGCACCCGGAAGTCCACCGGAAGCCAATGCAGCTCGCGCAGGAGAGGAGTCACGTGGGAGCGCCCAGTCGCTCCCATAATCCCCCGCACGGCCACATTTTACACCAGTTGGAGCCTCCGGATACACCCCAAAGGGAGCCCCATGTAGAGAGCGTACAATAGTCCAGACGAGAACTCTGCCCTGATGTAAGGGATTACGGGGTCATTAAAAGACCAAAAAAATAAAAGACACCTGGATGCAGGATTCCGAGTGTGGCCTTACCAAGGCCTTGTAAAGTGGTATTAACCCTTCACGTGATCTTGATTCTGTCCCCCTGTTTATGCAGCCTAGAACTGTGTTGGCTTTTTTGGCAGCTGCTGCACACAACTGGCTCATATCTAAATAGTTGTCCACTAGGACTCCAAGATCCCTCTCACAGTTACTACTATTGAGCAAAGTACCACATATACGGTACCTGTGCATTTTGGTTTTCTAGCCTAAAAGTAGAACCTTATTTTTTTCGCCATTGAATTTCATTTTGTTAGATCGCGCCCAACCTACAAGAGGGAATCAAGAATCTTCAGGGCTCGGGCTAACTTACCTGCGAAAGCCACAATTTTTACCACCTCTCCAGGTGCAAGGGCATGGTTTAAGATCTGTTGTTGTTCACTAGTAGGTTGTAAAACAGGCCTGTTGGCGAACAGAAGAAGTAGTAGTTACACATGGTTGTAAACGTTGTGTAAAATCACAGTTGTTAACAGGCACTGCCGGGCTGCTAGCCCTCAACATACGACCGCATTGGAGCCCAATGTTGCTAAGCGAGATTATTGTTAAGTGGGTTTTGCCCCACTTGACAACCGTTCTGTGCACAGTTGTTAAGTAAATCACAGCAGCTGTTCAATTAATTCACATGGTTGTTAAGTGAATCTGGCTTCCCCATTGACTTTCCTTGTCAGAAGGTCTCAAAGGGGGATCATGTGACCCCGGGACACTGCAATGGTCATAAATATGAATTCCGTTGTCAAATGTCTGCATTTTGATCACATGACCAGAGGTGGTATTCAGCCCGTTCGGGCCGGTTCAGACCGGTTCGCCCGAATTGGTATAGTAGCGACCTGCAGGTGGGCTGCCCACCTGTCCAGGTGCTATGCTGACCTATTTAGGCACGTTTTCAAGCTGTGCGCATGCCTGCAAGCCACATGAGAAAAAGCGCATGCGTGGACACCAGGGGTGAGTTCTAAAATTATTTACTACCGGTTCTGTGGGCGTGGCTTATTTTGTGGGCATGGCTTAATAGTCATGTGACAATTTATTAGGATTTAACAGAGGTACTGGTCTACCAGGCTTTTAACTGCTTGCAGAGCTGTACCGATCTACCCATTTATTTTTGCAGGAACTGGTCTACTCATTTGTTTTTGGAGGCACCGGTCTACTCATGTATTTTTGCAGGCACCGGTTTACCCATGTATTTTTGCAGGAACTGGTCTACTCATTTGTTTTCTTTTAACACTGATCAGCTGTAGGGCGGCCCTTTGAAGCCCTGCGGCAAGAATTTAAACAGTTTTTTTCCTTATAGCCCATCAGCTGGGACTCAGGAGGCAGCAATAGATTGGGGGTGGGGCCAAATAAAAGGTAAGAAAAACGTGGGGGGTGGGGGACAGGGGGGAGCGGGGGGGCAGAACCAGTTCGGTGATGTCATATCATCACCGCTACTGGCTCGGTGGAACCGGGCCGAACCGGGAGGAACCCACCACTGGTGGACACAGTGTGTGCGCTCACATTTGTGAATTGGTAGGGAAAGTAAGTGAATACTGCCCCTGCATGTCACCATAGGGATGCCGTAACGGTCGTAAACCGGGTGAAATACGGTTCGTGAGTCACTTTTTTTTTCAGTGCTGTTGCAACTTCAGTCACTAAACAAACCGTTGTAAGTCGAGCACTACCTGTATTAACCTACAAAGTCAAATGTACCCACCTGAGGCCTCTTTTGCCGCTGGATAATTTGGGATTATGTTTGACAGCCGGGCTGAAGGGAAAAGTTTCCAGGTGATACAGGCAATAAAAAACATTGTAGTGAAGCCTAAAAGGACACAGAAAATGGGAAGAGTGAAAACGTACCTCAAGAGTAAAAACTCTAAACTTTGCCTGAGCAAAGTCACAGCTGCTTTAACGAGTAGGTGTTTTATTTTTTATTTATTTATTGGTATCCTGCCTTTATGATTCCTGCTTCTAATTCAATATACAATATACAGCTTCTTCCTCCTACTATATATACAATATACAGTTTCTTCTTCCTACTTTGCCCACAACAATTACTCTGTGAGGTGGGTTGGGCTGAGAGAGAGAGAGAAGTCCAAAGTCTCCCATTTGGCTTCCATGCCTAAGGCAGGACTAGAACTCACTGCATCCTGGTGATTGGCTCCAAGTCACTCAGCTGGCTTCATCCTAAAGTGGGACTAGAACTCACCATCTCCTGTGGACTGGTCTAAGGTCACCCAGCCAACTTTCATAGCAAAGAGGGGACTAGAACTCACCGTCCCCTGGTGATTGGCCCAAAGTTACCCAGAGAGCTTTCATAGTGAAGACAGGACTAGAACTCGCCATCGCCTGGTGATCGGCCCAAAGTCATCCAGGCGGCTTTCATGCCTAAGGCGGGACTAGAACTCACTGTCCCTGGTGATTGGCCCAAAGTTACCCAGAGAGCTTTCACAGTGAAGACAGAACTCGCTGTCTCCTGGTGATCGGCCCAAAGTCATCCAGGCGGCTTTCATGCCTAAGGTGGGACTAGAACTCACCGTCCCCTGGTGACTGGCCCAAAGTTATCCATTCCGCTTCTAAAGTGAAACTAGAACTCACCGTCCCCTACTGATTGTCCAGAGTCACCTAGCTGTCTCCTGCTTTCTAGTCCGGTACCTTTCTAACCCGGAGACCCAAAGTGGCTCTCATGCTAGATTGTGTACTTTTTTTCCAAAGCGTGCACAGCCCTCCCTAACAGAAGATACTCCTAGTTTTACTACTGCTGTAAACTACAGGTATCAGTCCTAGGAGCCTTCCTGACCCTTTGCAAACTTACCGGTTACTGATCTGGACCTCATTCTTCCGCATGGCATAAAGTAGGGTTGCCGTGGAATACAACACCTCAAGGATGTCCATCAGCGACATGGGGGAGCTGGGTCTTTGAAGACAGCCCACCAGCTCCTGAATGTCACGAACGCCTCCAGCCAAGAGCACAATGGCCGCCATCACTGCCCGAACGTAGGCCGGCTGGAAGAACATGGAGTGAATCATTATAGGGGTGAGGGAAACAGAGGAAGACAGAGGAGGAGGAGGAGGAGGAGAGATAAAGGAGGAGGAGGAGAGGGAGGAGGAAGAGATGGAAGAGAAGGAAGAGATGGAGGAGGAGGAGAAGAGTGGGAGGCGGAAGAGAGATGGAGGAGGAAGAGAGATGGAGGAGGAGGAAGAGATGGAAGAGGAGGAAGGATGGAGGAGGAGGAGGAGAGTGGGAGGAGGAAGAGAGATGGAGGAGGAGGAAGAGATGGAGGAGAGGAGGAGAAGAGTGGCAGGAGGAAGAGAGATGGAGGAGGAGGAAGAGATGGAGGAGAGGAGGAGAACAGTGGCAGGAGGAAGAGAGATGGAGGAGGAGGAAGAGATGGAAGAGGAGGAAGAGATGGAGGAGGAAGAGATGGAGGAGAGGAGAGAAGAGTAGGAGGAGGAAGAGAGATGGAGGAGGAGGAAGAGATGGAGGAGAGGAGAGAAGAGTGGGAGGAGGAAGAGAGATAGAGGAGGAAGAGAGATGGAGGAGGAGGAAGAGATGGAAGAGGAGGAAGAGATGGAGGAGGAGGAGAAGAGTGGGAGGAGGAAGAGAGATGGGGAGGAGGAGGAAGAGATGGAGGAGAGGAGGAGAAGAGTGGCAGGAGGAAGAGAGATGGAGGAGGAGGAAGAGATGGAGGAGAGGAGGAGAACAGTGGCAGGAGGAAGAGAGATGGAAGGAGGAGGAAGAGATGGAAGAGGAGGAAGAGATGGAGGAGGAGGAGAAGAATGGGAGGAGGAAGAGAGATGGAGGAGGAAGAAGAGATGGAAGAGGAGGAAGAGATGGAGGAGGAGAACTGTTTATTAAAGGGCCAGCTTCAATCTCTCCAGCCTGCGTTTGTTACTGCCGGGCTATTTGAGCTTCTGCAAGGCCACTCGTGGGAGGGGACAGAACGGTGAGTCTTATACTCCGGAGCGTCTCATAACTCCGAAAAATACGGTACTGCAAGACTGAACAAAGATAATAAAAATTCCTAATCCAGTCTCCCTTTTAAGCGCTTCCCTGCCTTCCTAAAAGAGTCGTTCAATTTATTGTTAAGAACGATGTTAAGCTGCATCTTTGCTTCTCTCTGACTTAATTCTTATCATTTACACCCTTAGAGGAACTTAGGAGGAAATTCTATCTGCCTAAGTAGGGAGGGAGGAGCCAGCCTGTTTGCAACTGATAACCACTTGGGAACGGCCCTTCCTTAAAAGCTGAATTCAGAGAAGGCTGCAAAAGTTCAATCTTTTCGCTTAGCGTGGTCCAAGAACTTTGCACCCATGTTCCGAGGACTGCAACGTATAAACTACCGGTAGTAGAAGAGAATGTTTGTAACTCAAGAGTTGAACTGTGAGGTCCCGGATGCTCTCTGAGCTTTTCTTGCAGACGTTTCATGACCCAACTAAGTAACATCATCAGTGCTGAAGGAGGAGGAGGAAGAGGAAGAGGAGGAAAAGAACTATGGGGTCCTTGATGCTCTCTGATCTTGGCTCTTTTCTTGCAGACGTTAAATGACCCAACCAGGCATTGATGATGTTACCTTGTGGGGAAATGGGTTCACTCCTTAATTGTACTACACAAGGACAGACTTCGCCATAGTTTCAACTGGAAAACGGTGAGCATCCTAGACAAACTGAGTCCAAAAAGCAGCAGAGTTCCTCGAAGCCTGGCACTCAGGCAAATCCCTAAACCGTCGCTAAACGAATAACTATCGTTATACGAATAACTAGTCGAAGGACCGTCTCTCTTGGAATCCATTGCCTTTTGAGCAGGGTGGATTTGATTTAAATCGAGTTGATTTAAATCATGACTTTCATCATGATTTAAATCTCTAGTAAAAAGGCTTGATTTAAATCAACTCGATTTAAATCATAATTTTTAAAGAGCAACTGTCATCTCTGCTCCTCCTCTGACCCACCGTTGACTCACCGATAGTCCCAGTGTTGCAGAATATACAGCCTCCTGCGACATAACTCAACTCCATTTCATGCTGAATAAACTGAATTATTTATGCATCTTAAATAGAAAACTATCTTACGATAGATTTTTACCCCAAAAGTTTTTTATTAAAATAAATTCAATAAAAATCAAAAAATCCAATTTAAATAAAAAAAAATCTGATTTTTTTTGATTTTTTTTAAAAAAATCATTGATTTTTATCCACCCTGCTTTTGAGTGACATCCCCAAATTCTGAGCAAGAAAACCCACATCCCACGGAAAACACAATGGAAACCCCCCAAAACCTCAATTCCAGGGAGCGTTTAAGCCCGCCAAGACCTACTTTCTCTTTGCGACCGTCCAAATCCGGAAGATTTTTGGCGATGCAGACTTCTGCCTTGAGAAAGAGCGAGTGGCGTTTCAGACACGCGAGGGCAGCGGTGGGATCTCGGCAGTGACAGCTCCGAACATCAGCCACACACCTGGATTTGGGAAGAGAAACATGGACAGGTGAGATATCCCAAAGGTGCTTTTTCCAGGAGGCAACTGGACTTTCTCGTTTTTCTTTGAAGACGTTTCGCTTCTCATCCAAGAAGCTTCAATAAACGAAGCAACAATAAACAACAATAAACGAAGCAACATTGTCATTCCGTACGTTGCCGGCATATCGGAAAAGGTCAGGAGGCTCTTCAGTCAACACAACATACACGCACACTTCAAACCCAAGAATACACTAAGGCAGAAGCTTGTCCACCCCAAGGATAAAACACAAACTAAGCAACATGGTATATGCAGTACAATGCAGTGAGCCATGTGCAGATCTATACTTTGGGGAAACAAAACAGCCACTTCACAAACCCATGGCACAACATTGGAGAACGAACCCATCGGGATAAGATTCAGCAGCCCATTTGCCCATTTAAAAGACACAGGCCACTCTTTTGAAGACAACAAACTCCACATTTTGGACAGAGAGGACTGCTGGTTTGAAAGAGGAGTCAAAGAGGCCATCTTTGTCAAAACCGAACAGACCTCTCTCGACAGATAATCTCTCTAAAACACACTTCTTTCTGTGTGTGAGCGAGCACATGGGGTCACCTGATCGCCATCTGCAACCATCCCAGCTGGCTATCAACAAGCAAACTCAGTGTGGGAATCTGGATTCGCTTAAAGGCGCAAATGGTTTACTTAAAGACGTCACTGATTTACTTAAGAACCGTGGCAAAAAAAAAAAAAAAAAGTTCATAAAATCAAGCACACTTAACAGTCGCCTCGCTTAGCAAAGAAAATACGTACTGCTCCCCATTGTGGTCATAACTCAAGGACCACCCGTATACCAGGATACCCCCGTTTATGAAAGCAAAGGAGACGGTTTGCGGTTGCGATACCGAAGGCCACTCACCGGATAAATCCCAGCATGCATCGGGGGTTCTCCTTGGTTAGGCCGTATCGTTGCAGAACGATTCGGAGGGTCAACGAGGCGTGGTCGACTCCCTTCAAATACTGATAGTAAACCTTCTTCCAAGGAATGAACTGAAAAACCAGAGCAAAAAACATCGGATATTATGATTTGGGGGCTTCTTATTTTTATTTTTTAATCCAGCCTTTTAATATTTTTATACGCTTTGAATCGAGTCTTTCGCTGTGAACTGCATGCATTTTCCGCTTTAGGGAACCAAGCTATTAAAAGCATCCCCGGTGCAGGGAATCCACAAAATTAAGAATTTATAGTCCGAAAAATACGGTATGTCAAACACCAAGTGCCATAATTTAGAGTTCAAATGATTCATCACTTGTACTTTTTATGTACACTGAGAGCTTATGCACCGAAGACAAATTCCTGGTGTGTCCAATCACACTATAAAGAATTCTAATTCTTTAGAATTCGCCTGGCCTCGCCTAAATCTTCTCCCTTTTAAGTGCAAATTTTAAATTTTAATGTGTTTTAAAATATGGGTATTTTAAAGTATGGGTATTAATTCAGCCAAATTTATTTAATTCATTTTATTCAATTTTAAATTTTGTATATGTATGTGTTTTATTTCATGGCTGTTCACCGCCCTGAGTCCTTCGGGAGTAGGGCGGTATAGAAATTCAATAAAATAAAATAAATAAATAAATAAATAATAACTTTATTTTATTATTCTCTTCTATTATTCTCTCCTCTCCCCTCCCTTTGTTCTGCCCCAGCTACGGACCCCAAAGAACGCAGCACACACAAAGTCCGTTCAAACCTTAGTTTACTAAATAAACCAGTCTTTTACAACAACGGCTGGTAATTAACTGCATTAACAGCCGCCAAGAAGTCAAAGAATAATAACTGAAAGCTTACTATGGTTGGCAGAATGCCCAGAAGCAATTTGCAGGAAGCTGATAAGATAGCAAGACAAGACACGAAGGAGAGTGAACGAAGTTGTTCCCTGCAAATTGCTTCAGTCGGTGTTCCTCCTTAAATAGGCTAAGGGAGTGGCCAATTAGCCCCAAGCCTTACTCTCAAGGAGACCTCCTCCTGAGGAGCCACTCCTGCCTTTTGGCAGCTCTGCACGCTTGTGCATCGAGAAGAGGCTCCTCCTCTTCATCCTCTTCACTTAAGGGAGCTTCTGAAGGCCCTGGCTGAATCCCCGCTTCTGGCACCACATCTTCTCCAGCCTCCTCATTGTCCGACTCGAGCGCCAGCTGCACAGGCTGCTGGGGAAGCACCACACCAGTCTCCTCGCTGTCGGAATCAGCTACTAGCTGCACAGGCCGCTGACGGGCCACAACACCTCTTCCATTCCTATTCCATTCTATTCTTCTCCTTCCAAGCTAAAAGATAATTGCCGAATGGAAAAGGGTTCCAAGCAGAAGAATGTCCCTGACCATGATAAATTAAATCACGGAAGAAACCATGCAAGGGAGACAAAGGCCTTCCTCAGGTCCTGCCCACCATTCCTGAGATAACGGCCTCCCTTACCTTCACGTCAGAGATGATGCGCTTCCAACGTCGACACACCAGACAGAGGTTCTGGAGGAGATCAACCAGAGGTACCAGGGCAAAGACCTGTTGAAGGATTTCATCTGGCAGTTTCTCCATGGTCCCCTGAGGTACGTCATCCCCAGATGTGGTTCCTAAGAGCCCAAAGTGGACATCGGGAAGTGGATCCACCTCTTCCTGCTTGACCGGTCCATCGCCTGAGCTCTCTTCAGAAAGCCTCACCAACCACGGTTTGTGTTCTTGGACCTCCTGGCCAGCATTTCCGTCGGAGTCGCTAGGTCCCGGGGAGAAACGTAACCGTTTCTTGGGGGGCCGCCGACGTGTCCCTTCCATCGTCAAGAAGACTGCAAGAGTCGTCTGAGTCGGACGCCGCGTCAAGAGCGAAGTTCTCCAGAGGTTCCTCAACTTTGGGTTTCTGGCTTTCCGCCATCTTACCGGAGCATGGCGAGATGTGGGATCTACTCCTGAAGTAATCTGTGATGGTCCTTTGGTGGCCTGCAAACCCAACAAGAGGCAGAAAGAAAAGACAAATGACAGCACCTTCAAAGGACAACTGCGCCTGGCAAGAAAAGCAAGGTGGACAATGGCAGGTATCTGTACAGGTAGTCCTCGACTTAACAAGTTCCATTTAGTGACCATTCGAAGTTACAACAGCACTGAAAAAAGGGAGCGTTTTTCATATTTGGGACTGGTCTATGGGGAAGCCAGAGAGGCTTCAAAACCGTGTTTTTCTAACTTAGCCACTGTGGTGATTCGCTTAACAACAGGGCAAGGAAAGGTCGTAAATCGGGGCAAAATTCACTTAACACCCGTCTCGCTTAGTAACAGGACTTTGGGGCTAAATTGTGGTTGTAAGTCAAAGACTACCCTGTACTGCCTTTCACATCTCCTATTTAAGTGTTTCATGACCCAACTATGGAACGTCTTCAGTGCGACATGAGAGTCGGGCTTGTGGAGGGCAGGGGGAGGGAGAGGGGGAGGAAGAGGAGGAAGGGAAGAAAATGAAAATGAAAATGAAAGGAAAGGGACTTGAAGGGAGGGAGGGAGGGAAGGAGGCAGGGAGGGAGGGAGGGCTGTGGGGGCCTTGGTGCTTTCTGAGCTTGATTGTTTTCTTGCAGACGTCTCAAGACTCAACTAGGATATATAATCAGTGCTGAAAGTGAGTGGGGTTTGTGGAGAAGAGGAGGAGGAGGGAGGGAGGGAGGGAGGGAGGGAGGAAGGAAGGAAGGAAGGAAGGAAAAGATGGAAGGAAGGAAGAAAAGGAAGGAAGGAAAGAAGGAAGGAAGAGATGGAAGGAAGGAAAAGATGGAAGGAAGGAACGAAGGAAGGAAGGAAAAGATGGATGGAAGGAAGGAAGGAAGGAAGGAAGGAAGGAAGGAAGGAAGGGATCCTTGGTGCTCTCCGGCCTTAGTGATCTTCATGCACATTTCATGATCCAACTATGTAACATTATCAGTGCCAGAAGGAGGTGGGGTTTGCTGTCTGTATGCACGTGGCTATATAAACAGGGAGCCGAGCTCTAACAACAGGGGACAAACGCAGCACCTAACTGCTGCGACACAGCCTCCATCTTGCATTGCAACAACACAACACCACTTTTGTGGGTTCTAACCAAAGCATCCGATGCGGCATGTGCCCCCGAAACCTTTCACTGATCTTTTCAAGAAAGCGCCTTCTTGCAACACATTCCAAATACACAACTCATCACACCTTTGGAACACTTCTTCCTCCTCCGAGGAGTTGGGCCAAGGCGCCTACAGGAATCTCGGCTGCCCGGTCTCTGGCTGAGGGGCTGCGTCAGGGCGGCCGTGCCTTCTGGGCTCTGCCGAAGAACTTCACAATCGCTCGCTGTCAGGCGGAGTTGCTTGAAAGACCTCACTGACCCAACAAGAAAAAACCCCGAAAAACGGCACTGGATAAGAGAAGACCTCTTAATGAAAGACAAAAAACAGGGACCCATTGCAAACCCAGACCCCAACCCTCTGCAAACCGCAATTGATGGTTTAAGTGTGGCCACTGCCAATCGCATTTTAAGCCATCCAGCAGGGTTCATCCGACCATCACTCAGCATGAAGAATTCAGAGTAGTCTAATAGCACAGCATAGTAATATAGTTCAGCACAGAGTAGCAAGATAGGAGGCAAATAAATTTAATCAATGGAAAAAAGTGGTTTGGCTTCCAAGCAAAATGGTTGTTAAAATATGTGGGGTTTGGTGCATTCCCCCATGATTTCATTTATATTTAGTTAGTTACCGTAGTTAGGCGATGTAGATGATGTAGATAGATAGATAGATAGATAGATAGATAGATAGATAGATAGATAGATAGATAGATAGATAGATAGATAGATAGATGATAGATAGATAGATGATAGATAGATATGGATGGATGGATGGATGGATGGATGGATGGATGGATGGATGGATGGATGGATGGATGATAGAGATGATAATCAACACAGACAGATGATTGATAGGTAGGTAGGTAGGTAGGTAGGTAGGTAGGTAGGTAGGTAGGTAGATAGATAGATAGATAGATAGATAGATAGATAGATAGATATGGATGGATGATAGAGATGATAGACAACACAGATGAATGATAGATGTAGTAGGTAGGTAGGTAGGTATGGATGGATGGATGAATGGATGGATGATAGAGATGATAGACAACACAGACAGATGATTGATAGATGTAGGTAGGTAGGTAGATAGGTAGGTAGATATGGATGGATGGATGGATAGATGGATGATAGAGATGATAGCCAACACAGACATGATAAAGACTAGATAGATAGATCGATAGATCGATAGATATGGATGGATGGATGGATGGATGATAGAGATGATAGACAACACAGACAGATGATGATTGATAGATGTAGGTAGGTAGATGGATAGATAGATATGGATGGATGATAGAGATGATAGACAACACAGACAGATGATTGATTGATTGATAGATGTAGGTAGGTAGGTAGGTAGATAGATAGATAGATATGGATGGATGATAGATGATGATGATGGATGGATATAGAGATGATAGACAACACAGACAGATGATAGAGACTAGATAGATAGATAGATAGATAGATAGATAGATATGGATGGATGATAGAAATGATAGACAACACAGACAGATGATTGATTGATTGATTGATAGATGTAGGTAGGTAGATAGATAAATTGATATGGATGGATGATAGATGATGATGGATGGATATAGAGATGATAGACAACACAGACAGATGATAGAGACTAGATAGATAGATAGATAGATAGATAGATAGATAGATAGATAGATAGGGATAGGGATGATAAAAAGACAACACAGACAGACAGATGAGAGACATGATAGATTGGTAGAGAGAGGGTGGGTGGGTGGAAATAGACGGACAAGGAGAGCGTTTTGTCTATGATTGTAGACTGTGTGTGTGCATACATGTATGTGCACACACATACACAAACACACTAGAGAGGGGGGGAGAGGAGAGGGAGAAAGACAGGGATATATATGCTATATTTCTATTTCTCAAAAGAAAATATATATAAACCCATACCCCCCCCACACACACACCCCTACACACACCCCTATACAAGCCCTCTCTCAGTGCCCAGGTTGGCCTTTCATGCAAGGGATCATCGTTGTTTGCCTGTTTCATTCATACATGCCGCCCATCTCCCTCTCCCAAGCGAGTCCGGCTGGCTCAACAGTAATAAAACTGAACTTCTGGCTGCCTGGAAAGAGATTTTAATTTCCTCTATCCTTGCCCTTAAGGCAGTGCTTCTCAACCTTGGAAGCTTGAAGATGGGTGGACTTCAACTCCCAGAATCCCCCAGCCAGCAGCGCTGGCTGGGGGATTCTGGGAGTTGAAGTCCACCCATCTTCAAGCTTCCAAGGTGAGAAGCACTGCCTTAAGGCATCCCATTAACAAGCCCTTCCTTTTAAAGTGCCTTAAGCTGCCGTTTTTCAACCTTTAAGACTTGTGGACTCCCACTCCCAGAATCCCCCACCCTGCATGCAGGAGATGATAGGACGTGTAATTCCCCCCCCCAATATCTGGAGGGCGCCAGGTTGACGATGGTCGGGTTGCAACTGACTTTCATTTTTTTTCCCCACCCCACCCAAAGAAATTCAATTACTTTCCTCCAAAATCCGGAATGGGAAATAATTCTGCCCGGATGACAATGCTTTCCCAGCTCCCAATACCAAGAATCTAATTAGCAAATTAATTGCATTTTAATTTAAAGTTGACAATTTGAACTTACTTTGACTTCCGCCTAATTTGCAAACATTGCACGCGCAGAGCAACTCGTTCCCAGCCAGCGCGCAATCTAACCTGATGGCGCTTCGGCTAAACGAAAACCCCGCCTCTTTGCCCACACGACGGATGGGTCTCTGCCGCCCTATCGCAGAGCTCGCTTCTTCATTGCTCCTCCTCCTCCTTACTGCAGAAGAGTTGCCCGGTGCGGACCAATGAAAAGTCGCGAGAGATTGGACGGGCCCGCCCCCTCCTTAAAAGAGATGCAGAAAAACTACAAGCATAGAGTACCGCGCAGGACTCGCTTCCGGTTCTCCCGCGCGCTTGGGGGGGCGGGGGGGGAAGGCGGAATTTAGCCCTTCCTTTAAGGTCTGCCGCAGAGCATTCTGGGAGGATAAAAATCCCGATATGACTTTGTCCCTGGTTCGAGTCCAAATAGGGACCCATTATAGGCAGTCCTCGACTTACGACCACAATTGTGCCAACCTTTGTTGCTAACCAACATTTCTTAAATTAGTTTTGCCTCATTTTACGACCTTTCTCGCCACAGTTGTTAAGTGAGGCACTGCAGTTGTTAAGTGGGTCACATGGTCGTTAAGCGAATCTGGCTTCCCCACTGACTTTGCTTTGTCAGACGTTTGCCAAAGGGGAATCCCGGGACGCTGCCACCGTCATAAATACGAGTCGGTCACCAAAGGTCTGAACTTTGATCACGTGACCGTGGAGATGCTGCGACGGTCATAAGTGTGAGAAAGCCACGTCACTTAAAGAGCTGGGGCCAGAAAGGTTGTAAAATGAGGCAAAACTCACTTAACTGTCTCGCTTAGCGACAGAAATTTTGGGCTCCGTTCTGGTCGTTAAGTCGAGGACGACCTGGAGTTAACTCTTTTAACAAAATACATTTAATTATTTCTCTATAAAAAAATAGGAAGAAAGTATGGAGTCTGAAATATAACTCTTAAAAGTATTAAGAATTAATAGTATTCTTAATACGATTCTTTTAATGGAGAGAGGGAACCGAGAAGGCCAAAGGAATAGTCTTCATGAGGTCCCCTCAGCAGGGATGCAACCAAGAGTATCGTCTTTGTAAGCTGAGAGTTTGGCAGCCCCAAGTTGATATTGGCTGAGCTTGGAAAAAAAATCGGTGGGATCAGATCCGGCTCGCTGGGTGGGAGGAGGGGGTGCAAAACCCCAGGGCTCTAAAGGCAACTGAGAAGTTAAAAGGAAAACTGTCGAGGAAGGCTTCCGGGAGGCCTCCCAGAAATCAGCAGGAATCAAGCTGGACTTTGAAGTGTGTTTTAAAAATCTGCTCGACATGTAACTCTACAAAGAGATGGAGCAGTTCCAAAATAATTTTATGTCTGTGTAACACAAATCTTCCCTTCTATATCTCTCTCCTGCCATCTAGTGGCCAATGGATTGTTTTTCATCCATAGTGTGTGTGTATATCCATCCATCCGTCCATCTATCCATCCATCTTCTATCAGTTTTCATCCATCCTCTACTCCATCCATTACTCTATGTAACTCTCTCTTCTATCCAATACAATCTATCATCTTCCATCCATCCATCCTTCTATATTTCATCCATCCATCCACTCTTATCTATATCTATCAATCATTTTATCATCTATCTATCATTTAGATAGGGATAGATTTAGATAGGTGATGATATAGATAGATAGATAGATAGATAGATAGATAGATAGATAGATAGATAGATAGATAGATAGATGATATAGTTATAGGATAAAATCTTTCCCATAACTATATCTATCTATCTATCATCTATCTATCTATCTATCTATCTATCTATCTATCTATCTATCTATCAATCTATCAATCATCTCTATCATCCATCCATCCATATTTCATGAAGAAGGAAACCATCAAACCATTGTGACTCATATCAATTACTGGTTTATTTATTGATGGGGGGGGGTCAGATCCATTAATAACATTATAAGCAAGCAAAGTACACTTCTCACCATTTAACCAGAACAATTTTTATTTCAAAAAATAGTGCAAATATTACTTTGTTCCCGAAGAACAAATGAGAAAGTGCTAAAGAGTTATTGGAAAGCGACAGAGAGTTTCCTTCCCTTTCTAACATCATTTGGAAGGATGACCTTATTTTTTTTACCTCTTTTTCATAGCAAAAATACTTTAAAAAAACTCTCTTTATAAAAAGTGCAGCTGCCGGGCCCTGGCGTTAGTGCAAGATTGCTGGAATGGCTTAAATCTATAAAAAAAAACTTTTAGCAGATATAAAAAAAGCAGATTGTCTGATTTTGAGGAGCATTGAAACAGCCTCTCCCACCATGGAAGGCCACGAAGGGAACCAGAATTAAAACATTTTGATGCTTTCCATTTTTCTCTCGGTACGGAGAGTCAGTGGCTGATAAATTGGCCTAAAAACTCAAACACATTTCCACCAGAATGCAAGGAAGCCTCCTCAGTTAAATCTACAGGCAGTCCTCGACTTACAACAGTTCATTTAGTGACTAACTGTCAAGCGTCCGAATTTCAATCACATGACCATGGGGATGGCGCAAAAGTTTTACGTTTGAAAGCGGTCATCCTCCTCCTTTGCTTGTCAGAAGTGCCGTTGTAACTTTGAATGGTCAATAAACAGAGTTTGTTGTAAATCGAGGACTATTTAAGGAAGGAAGGAAGGAAGGAAGGAAGGAAGGAAGGAAGGAAGGAAGGGCCATGCTGGTGCATTGGTTAGAATCAGTATTGCAGGCTAACTCCACCCACTGCCAGGAGTTCGATCCTGACCTGCTCAAGGTTGACTCAGCCTTCCACCCTTCCGAGGTGGGTAAAATGAGGACCCAGATGGTTGGGGGCAAGAGGCTGACTCTGTAAACCGCTTAGAGAGGGCTGTAAAAGCACTGTGAAGCGGTATATAAGTCTTAAGGGCTATTGCCAGTCCTTTTGATATGATGGCAGATGTAGGAAATTTCAGCCAAGAGAACCACCAGCCCTGGAGTCTGAGAAATGTCTATGGAGATTCTCAGTCCTCCAGGTCATGGCTGTTCCAAAAAGTGATTTTTTTTTCAAGAGGCAAGTGGACTTTCTCCTTTTTTCCTTTTGAAGACATCAGAACCGAGGAAGCTTCTGGGATGAGAAGCGAAACGTCTTCAAAGAAAAACCAGAAAGTCCAGTTGCCTCTTGGAAAAAATGTTCAGGCTGTAAGGACAGCAGTACACGCATCCCCAGTAAAACAACTGTGAACAGCCATTTGTCTGAAAGGGTATGTATTCTCCTGCTTGAGCAGGGGGCTGGACTAGATGACCTCCAAGGTCCCTTCCAGCTCTATTCCTATCCCATTCCATACTCTATTCTATTCCTAATTCTATTCCATATTTTATATTCTATTCCAGGGGTGTCAAACTCGATTTCATTGAGGGCCACATCAAGGTTGTGTTTGACCTTGGGAGGGGGGACAGGGTGGGAGTGGCCGACTCAACGTCATTCCTGTCAGGGGTGCGCAAGTGCTCTGCCGGTGAAAACAGGCTCCCGAGTTCCATTTCGGCTGCAACCAGGGGTAAAATGCACCCAGTTCGAACCGGTTCGGCTGAACCGGTAGCGATGGCGGCACGAGGCTCCGTCCATCTGCCCGATTGTCATTATTTCCTGGTTTTAACCAGGAAGTAAACTGTCTTTTTACCCTCTGCGCATGCGCAGAGGGTCCGTGCACGCGCACTTCCGAACTGGTTGGGACAGTAAGTAGATTTCACCCCTGGCTGCAACCCTCTGCCAGTGAAAACAGAGCTTGAAAGGCCGTCAGCGGCCCTTCCAAGCTGCATTTTTGCTGGCAGAGGCGCTCCAGGCTGATCTTTTGCTGTTTTCAGGGCGGCCCTGCAGGCCAGATCTAAGCATCCCATGGGACGGATCTGGCCCCCGGGCTTTGAGTTTGACACCCCTGGACTAGAAGATCTCCAAAGTCCCTTCCAACCCATTCTATTCTATTCTATTCTATTCTATTCTATTCCATTCTATTCCATATATTCTATTCTATTCTATTCTATTCTATTCTATTCTTATTCCTGATTCTATTCTATTCTATTCTATTCCATTCCATTCCATATTCTATTCTATCCATCCCCATCCTCTATTCTATTCTATTCTATTCTATTCTATCCATCCCCATCCCCATCCCCATCCTCTATTCTATTCTATTCTATTCTATTCTATTCTATTCTATTCTATTCTATTCTATTCTATTCTATTCTATTCTATTCCATTCCATTCCATTCCATTCCTATTCCTTATTCTATTCTATTCCTATTCTATTCTTATTCTTATTCCTATTCTTATTCTAATTTTAATTCTAATTCTATTCTATACATTTATATTCTATTCCTATTCTATTGTATTCCATTCCATTAAGACAAGCAACCTGGAATTAAGGAGAAACGTCCTAACCGTGAGCGCAATTAACCCGTGGAACTGCTTGCCACCGGATGTTGTATGGGCTTCATCACTGGAGGTTTTTAAAAAGAGACTGGACAGCCACTTGTCTGAAAAGGGATAGAGTTGCCTGCTTGAGCAAGGGGTGGGTGGGTGGGTGGGTGTGGTAGTGGACTAGAAGACCTCCAAGGTCCCTTGGAGCTCTATTCTGATGATTCTGACTCTCCAGGCAGCACAACAAGAGCATCAATCCCACATCAAGAGGATAACCTTCCTTTCTACATTCCTTGCTTTCTTTTGAAAAACACCCAGTGCAATTTTTGTTTTGTTTGTTTGAAGTACTTAAAAATCTTCAAGGAGGATGTGGACCTCGGAGGGAACCTCAATGGTTTCTGGGAGACGGGCTGGGCCCTGCGCCCTGGAAGATCCTGTGAGCTGTGCAATGGGGCCAAAACTGCGCGCACAAGAAGAACACAAAAATCCCTTTCTTTCGGTGTTGTCCACCTGCCGGAAAGAAGTTGAGGGGGGGAAAAAGTGAGGTTCGCGATACAGACAATCTCCCCCCACCAGCGTTCGTGGGACGTGGCTCTAAATAGCATCGTCCTGATTCTGGGGTTACTATAGAAGAGAATATTTGTAGCTTAGGGATGAACTGTGGGGTCCTTGGTGCTCTCTGAGCTTGGTGAATTTCTTGCAGATGTTTCATGACCCTCTACGTAACATCCTCAATGCTACAAGGGAGTAAGGCTTGTAGAAAGGAGGAGGAGGAGGAGGAGGAGGAGAAGGAGGAGGAGGAGGAGGAAGGCGACTGTGGAGTCCTTGGTTGTTTTCTTGCAGATGTTTTGTGACCCAACTAGGTAACATCATCAATGCTAGAAAGGGAGAGGTGTCAGAGAAGGAGGAGGAGAACTGTGGGGTCCTTGGTGCTCTCTTGCAGTCATTTTATTACCCAACAGGTAACAACCTCAGTTAGAAGCCTCCTAGCACAAGCTTTTTAGCACTGATGATGTTACCTAGTTGGGTAATAAAATGTCTGCAAGAAAACAACCAGGCTCAGAGAGCACCAAGGACCCCACACTCCATGTGTGACTCCGAATGGGGAGCAATCTGTCTCCAAACCATCGCTGCGAGGAACAAAGGCAAGAGAGGGAAATATTTCCATCTCCTGCTTGTAAGAGAAGTTGACCAGAAACACAGGTTTTAGTCTCCGGGCCTTTCATCATCTTACTTGCTCTTCTCTGTCTTTTTTTCAAAGTCTCCACATTTTTTGTTTTTGTAATGCAGTGACCAAAACTGGATGCAGCATTCCAGGTGTGGCTTTACTAGATTATATTCCTGAGCTAGTTGCCTACTAAAAGAAGATACGTACTTCCGGTTTGGTGTCATGGCGAGACAGTCGGGGAATTAGCGGGCTCTGATGAGCGCCGCGAAAACCTCGCTGACAAACCGCTGCCGATGGGTCTTTGGACCAGAACCGTCCTGTAGGGACGGGGAAGAAAGAGAAGCACCTCGGATGAGCAAGAGGAACAGATAAGTTCCTCGGAGGTCAGAGGGAACTCTCTGTGAGTCGTCGGCAGGGGGCGGCAGCCATGGCGGCTGCCATGAAGCTGGGACAACTGGACTAAGTGTAGAGTTGGAGGAAGAGAGGAACGGAATGGAGTCTTTCTGAAGCTGGGTGAGTGACAGCCAACTCAGGCTTGAATAACAACAAGAGAAACATCTTACAATTATAAGACCCCTAATGTGTAATAGCGGCTAAGGAGCATGGGGGCAAAGAAGACCTTGAAATGTAACTTTGAAGAGATAAAAACCCAATTGAAAATCGATTTTTCAATAAACTATTTGGAAACATTAAACAATCAGTTATGGTCAAAGGATTGGAAAGAAATAAAGAGATCCTTTTGTTTCCTTTTCCTTTTTAAATTGCAAAAAAAAACAAAAAGAATGGACAATAAGCTTTAAAAAGAGAAAAAAAAAGTGATGTATAAATAAAAAGGGAAAAAAGGAAAAAAGAAGTGAGAAGAGCTACAGTATTTTCCGGCGTATAAGACGACTGGGCGTATAAGACGACCCCCGACTTTTCCTGTTAAAATATAGGGTTTGGGCTATACTTGCCGTATAAGACTACCCCTCTTCCAACGCACACCAAATAAAAATTAAAAAACATCATCTGGCTCACCCACAATGTAAAAGCAGCTGTGCTAGACCCAAAATGGCCCCTGCAACAAGCAGGAACCTCACACAGCCACAAAAAGCCCCAAAAAACAACTTTCACACTTTACACACACAAAATTCCACATACAGCTTTGTGAGATTTTGTGTGTTTGTGTAGTTAGAGTGAAACACTACAGAAACACACTAGATCTCAGAAAGCTGCACAAATATTATTTTATTTTATTTTTATTTTTCTATGAAAGCTAAATTTAAAACTTCCTAAACTTTAAATGGCTAGGTCTAAAAAAGAACAACTAAAAAAAAACCCAATTAACTATTTTTTTTTAAAGCTCCCAAAGGGGAAAAAAACTTACCCAAGCTTTGTTTTGCTGGCTGAGGAATTCTGGGAGTTGAAGTCCACAACTCCCTGACTGCTTGATTGCAGGCAGGGAGTTGCTTGCTGATGGAATGGATTGCAGGCAAGCGAAGCAAGGCAAGCGTTGCGACTAGCAGCTAAGGTAAGCAAGCTGGAGGGGGAAAACTTTTTTCCTTTTACATGGCTCTGGCGATCCAAGCTAAATTGCCTGATTAGCAGGCAACTCAGCTGGGATTGTCAGAACTTGGATTGCCAGAGCCATGTAAAAGAAAAAAAGTTTTTTTCCCTTTTAAATGGCTCTGGCGATCCCAGCTGAGTTGCCTGATTAGCAGGCAACTCAGCTGGGATGGTCAGAGCTTGGCTCGTCAGAGCCTTTCGGGCTGGTCTGCCTGGTTACAGGAGAACGACACCCGGCGTATAAGACGACCCCCAACTTTTGAGAAGATTTTCATGTTTTAAAAAGGCGTCTTATACGCCGGAAAATACGGTACTTAAATTTGGACTGGACTTTAAATATGATCTGATATCTTTAAACTGAAAAAGAAAAAGAGAAGCTAAGTAAGAACCTGGTGTAATTGATACAAAATGGATACTTGTTAAGCAATTGGAAATTGTGGATTGCAGAGAGACACCATCTGGAGTAAAAAGGAACATTGCAACTTGATTCTTTGTTTTGGAAAATTGTGAACTTCACAGATAACAACCGTGAGAATTTGTGGAGGAAGATTTTCTTGTCTACAAGAGGTTTGACTTTTGGAGAAATAAAAAAAGAAATAGAAGCGAATACAACGGAACTTTCATAATTGGAATAATTATTTGACTTGGAGAATGGAAATAAGAGAAATAACTACAATGCTGCATAGAGGACAAAAATTCGAGGATATAAAAATTGAAATGGAGTATACACGAGTGGACAAGAAAATGAAGATGGAGAAATAAGATATAGAAGTGGAAAATAAAGAAGATAGAGACATTGTGATTAAATATGAATAAATAATTGAACATGTGAATAGTAACAATAAAAAGGAGGTCTCTAGAGATTATATTGAGATTAACAGTAATATAACGATGATTATATGGGTAATCATCATTATATTATTTATCATAACAGTAAATGATAAAAGAATAAAAGGTTGGAAAATATTAAGGAAATTAAAAAAAGTCCAGGACTTGGATTTATAAAATGACTATATTGAGATTAACAAATATGAGAAGAAATATGTTACAGGCATTTAGAAATGAAATAGGGATTGAAGCTAAAATATATGGAAAATAGACATTATGTTAAAAGAAAATATAGCAATGGATATAATGCACTAATTTTTTATTAAGATGTTAGAAAGTACCACTTGAGAAAACTGATGGTTATAATAATTGGGATATTGTTTAAATACCTACAACAATTGTTATAATTTGAATATTTTAATAACATATCTACAAAAGTAAAAGATGATTACGCTGGGTTTAACAGTGAGAAAAATAAAGATGAGTACACTGGGATTAACAGTGGAAGGATAAAAGAAAAGGTTAAATTAGAAAATTGATAACTATAATAATTGGGATATTGTTCAAATATGTATAACAATTGTAATAATCTGAACATTTATTATTTAAGTATAAAATAAAAGAAAATTGAAACAATATATGATTATGATTTATAAACAAAAATTACTCAATTGGTGTTATATAAATGGTATGGTTTAATAGATAGAATTTAGGATAATTGGGAAATTGCATTAAATAGCATTAATTGAACTAAGAACTATGTTTAAAGGTTAAATTGCTATATTTTTAAGATTAAAGATAAGACTTAAATTTGATAAAGTGAGAATGGAATAAAGATTTAATGAGCAGCATGAAATATAAATATGTTTGAATTGTATTGTTAATAGTGAGGATTTAGGATAAGAATTGTGAAATGAATTATGAGACACTAACTGAATTAGGATTTAAGGTGGGTTAATAGAAGGGTAATTGTTTTGATCAAGTAAATATGTGTTAACTTTTTTTTTAAGATGGTACTAGTTAAATATGTGATTTAAGATTAAGAAATAATCTTATTTCTTATTATAAGATGACAAAAAACTGAACGAATTGATGACTGGATCAAAGCTCTGTTCCGAAAAGATGTAATTTGTATGTTTGGGAAAAAAATTAAAAAAAAACATTTTGCAAAAAAAGAAAAGAAAAGAAGATACGTACTATGTAAGGATGGTTTATCCTTTTCGGGATTAGCACAGGATCCTCTGGGATGGGCACTTCGCACCTGCATTGTACACAGACCGGTGGTGTCGTATTGGAGAGTGCGGTGGATAATTCAAACCGGACACAGTATTCCTTGGGCAAAAAACAAGCAAGACCAGAAGCGCTTAGCCAGCTAGGAAACCAAGGGGCTCCTTCCTGAGCATTGGAATACAGGCAGGGGTGAAATGCTCCCGGTTCGGATCGGATCAGCTGATCTGGTAGCAATGGTGGCGGGTGGTTCGGAGAACCGGTAGCAAAAATCCCTGCCCCTCCCCCATGCGCAGCTGAGCTACAACTTCTTCGGCCAAAAAAATGCTTTTAAAAGTAAAAAAAAAAAGCCTCTGATGATCACGTGGCTCAGCTGGGATAGTCAGAGGCTTTTAAAAGCATTTTTTCTACAATCTCAGCCGAAGAGGTTGTAGAAAAAATGCTTTTAAAAGTTAAAAAAAAAAAGTTGGCCACACCCACCCAGTCACATTACCCTCCCAAGTCATGCCCACAGAACCGGTAGTAACAAATTTTACATTTCACCACTGAATACAGGTACCGAGTTTCCCCGAAACAAAGACCTCTCCGAATAATAAGCCCAATCGGGCTTTTCAGCGCATGAGATAAAATAAGACACTCCCCCCGGCAAAATAAGACCCCACCACCAACTACTTACACATATGCGCAGCCGGTCCCGCCATTTCCTGTGGTTGCTTGCCACGCAAACAACACGAGATGAGCGAGATGAGGCCGGAGGGAGGGGGGAATGGTGGGGGGAACATGCCCCATGCACCCCACACGCCCTTATCGTACCTACCAGTAATGCTAATGGCCGCTGCAAAAAGAACAGAAGGCCAGCGACACGCCTCGCGCCCCACTCCTGCCTCTTGCTTAGCCACCTGCTGTCAACTTGCAAAGCTTTCAAGTTGCCATGAGCAGGAAGGAGAGAGAACTGATGGAGCTGATTGATTTCCCTAACTGAAATTACATTCCACAGAAGCCTTTCTATGGCAATCAGTAGGATAGTTTTGGGTTTCACAGCCAGCCAAAGTGGTTAATTGGAGCATGTGATTTATGACATGGCCAGGGAGGAGGGGAGAGACAGGGTCAGAGGGGAACGTAAATCTATGTGGGATTAGTTCTGAATATTGCCGAAATGGTGCTCCTATTAAATGAACTGTATTTCTTTTGAAGTTTGGCTCGTGGCTCATGAATTAATTAGGGCATCGTTCGGAAACTTCACACCCACCCCCTTTAGGAATGCAATTCGGGGGTGGCAGGTGGGGTGGGCAACAAGCAGGGCGCATGTCTTACCTTTCTAGTTCCGTCGTGTTCCTCATCATTGTGTCCAGAAAAACCCGCTGTAAAAAAAAACTTCTCGCGAGTTCGAGAAGTTTGATTGAACTCGCAAAAAGTTTTTTTTTTTTTTTACAATGTGTTTCCCTGGATACCACGGCAAGGAACGGCGATGGAGCTGGAAAGGTAAAACAGACGACTTCCTGTTGGCTCCGTGAGCTTCGCTGACACTCTTTCATGAGCGCCCGATCCCCGGCACTGTAAATGCCGCCAGAACAACCGAAAAACAGCTGTCTGGCGGCGAAAAACCCTCTCCCCGGGCAAAGGGGAGAGAGAAGAGCTGACAGGCGGAGGTAGAGCCCCCCAGTGCGCTAGGAGAAATCCTGGGGCGCGAAGGGTGTGGGCTCCCTATTGAAGCCTGTCAAGCTGCTCCGGACCAGGGACGACTCTGCTAAAGCGGAGCTAGAAGCCGCGACCAAAATCTGCTGAAAACAACTGGGGGGACTTTTAACATCTTTACTTTGATTGCAGACAGAGCAAATCAGGAGAAAAAAGGAAAAAATTGCAAGTAATACTTTAACCCCGTTTTAAAATGCAGAAAATGGCGTCTGAGAGCGGGAGGACGAAGCTACTAGGGAAAGTGCTTGTTAACGCTTGTTAACATTTTCAACAGTGATACAGCTACTGGATTACACCTTAAGAGAAAGTTTTAAAGTGGAAGTGTCCAGGAAAAGAGTTTGGTATCGAGGAAAAGAATTTAGTACTGATTTTAATTAAAAGCTTGCTTTTATACTGTGTGGAAAATAGTTGGAATTGTCATCCTGATAGCTGGATGAATACAAAGTGGCTGAAATATGGCTGACAGCAGGGCTGGTGAATCAGCAAATTCTCAAGCTGTGACTATTCAGGCTTTTCAAGAACTCTTAGATTCCTTTAATTCTGCTCTTTTGGACCCAATTGAAAGAGCTTTTTCAAAAAACAGCTTGGAAAATCATAAGCAGTTGTTGGAGGGATCAGCAAATTCTCAAGCTGTGACTGTTCAGGTTTTTCAAGAATCTCTAGACTTTTTAAATTCTGCTCTTTTGGACACAATTGAGAGAGCTTTTTCAAAAAACAGCTTGGGAAAACATAAACAGTTGTTGGATGGCCAGCAGGAAATTACTCAGAGGAGTTTGTTTTTGGAAAAGCAAAAGGCTGTCAGGATTGAAAGGCGGGCTGGCACAGTTGAAACAATGGTTTTGGCGGACGTTTCCATTCAATTGATAGAAAAGCAACAAATAGACTCTTTATTGCAAGTTGACAATCTTTATGGCAACAAATTTTGGCTATATGGACAAAGGAATGGACTGAATGATTATACAAGCAAGAAGAGTCGAAATGGGGATTTCAAATTAGAAAACTTTTTGAAAGGAGAGGAGGAAGGGAAGGGGACAGGAGTAGGAGTGAAGGTGAGAAGGGGGAAAAGAAGAGAGAAGTGGGAGAAAGGAAAAGGAAGTAGTATGAGGTAGGAGAGGAGGCAGGAGAAAGTAGAAGAGAAGAGGAGGGAGGGAAGGGAAAGAAAGGAGGAGAAGAAGAAGATTTGTTGTGGAATGAGGGAAGAAAGAGAAGAAGAGCAACTCCGAATGTAATTAAAATGTTTTATTTTAATGCTTTCTTCAAGGGAAACATGTATATGTAGGATTTATTATGTATAAGAAAATTTCAAATTAGAAAACGTGACCTCAAGAAGAGAGTGAGTATTTCAGAAACATCAACCTCAAATCAACGTTTTAAAATTTTCAAAAATAAAATTGGGGGGGCTGTTGAAAGAATTTATAAAAAAAAAGGATTGGAAAAAATATAGAAAGAACAGAAGATTAAGAGAGATATCTTCCTGTAGATTTTGAAATTTGCATTTGGCAAATATGTGTTTTAATGGTATTAAGAGATTTTTAAAATGCTTAACACAAGATTATATTACTTTAAAAGATATATGAGATAAATTGTGCAAGCTTTCAGGATGCCCAACTTTTTGAAGCAAAGAGGATTAATGTGAAATTCAGAATCCTATTACAAAATGATAATTAGTTTTGGATAAGTAAAAGGGCTGCTTTTTAAAAAAGTTAGAGGTATTAAAATGGTTAATTGAAAATCTGAAAGATATCCTCCTGCAGATTTTGAAATTCATATTTGGTAAATAAGTGTTTTAATGGTTTTAAGAGATTTTTAGAATGTTTAACATAAGATTATATTATTTTAAAAGATATATGAGATAAAATGTGTTAAAATGCCCAATTTTTTTTGAAGGAAAGAGGATTAATGTTAAATTCAGAATTTCATTAGGGAGTAATGTTCAAAAGAATGATGTTTGAGGGTATGGAAATGGAATTTATTTATGATTTTTACTGTTTGTAATACTGTTAAAGTACTGGATTATACATCAAGAAAAAGTTTTTTTATAATTAGGAAGAATGAATTTAACTTAATTGGTTGTGAGAATTTATAAAAGGGAGGTTGATGAATTGGAGCAAGAGGAGTTAAAGAACGTGTGGGAGTTTTGAACTTTATATAGCTAGGTTATTTTAGCATATGTTTGTTGGATGCTATACCCTGTTTTTGCTCTGGGAAGTCAGGGGTGGGGTGGGGAGGGTGGGATAAGGGTTGGGGTGGGGGAAAAAAAGTGGTGAATAGAGAAATGTTTTAACAGAAGAAAGTATCTACGATTAGAATACAGGAGTTGCTCAGATACTAAAGGAGGAGAATATTTCACAGCAAAGAAGTTAGAAAGGAGAGAGGAGGAGAGGGTAGGAAGAGGAGAGGGAGGAAGAGGAATGGAAGAAAGGAGAGGAGGAAGGGAAGGGGACAGGAGTAGGAGTGAAGGTGGAAGGGGGAAAAGAAGAGAGAAGTGGGAGAAAGGAAAAGGAAGTAGTATGAGGTAGGAGAGGAGGCAGGAGAAAGTAGAAGAGAAGAGGAGGGAGGGAAGGGAAAGAAAGGAGGAGAAGAAGAAGATTTGTTGTGGAATGAGGGAAGAAAGAGAAGAAGAGCAACTCCGAATGTAATTAAAATGTTTTATTTTAATGCTTTCTTCAAGGGAAACATGTATATGTAGGATTTATTATGTATAAGAAAATGTATATTTTCTATTATGAGGGGAGGGGGAAAGGGTGGGGGGGGAGAAAATTGTTTGTATTTCTTATAAAACTTTTCAATAAAAAAAAGAAAGGTTAAAACAGACGTCTCACTTCTTGCCCGTCCCACCTGCCACCCACAAATTGCATCCCTAAAGGGGGCAGGGGGCTAAGCAAGGGGCAGGAGCCCTGCCATGCCTGGAGAGGGGAGAAGAGATGGCAAGGGGAGCCATGTCTCGCTCCACGCATCTCGCTTCTCCCCTGCCCCACCTGCCAGAAATGAGTCTTTGTGAGACTTGTTGCGCCGCTGCCGCCTCGTGTGAGCAGGACTCTGCAAGGCTTGTGCTGTTGCATGCATGAAGGTTCGACATACCGGCGCAGCTGTGAGCAGCAGGACGCCAGCTGTGCCGATACGATGAAGCTCATGGCAGTGCTGCAGTTTATGCACGCAACAGCACAACAAGCTTTGCAGAGTCCTGCTCCACGAGGCAGCGGCGGTGGCAGGAGATGTCAGGGTAATGGCAGCCAGCCGCTCAGCCGGCACGAAAAACAGGGAGGGGCGGCGATGGGACATCCAGTGTTGTGGCTCCGTCCTCCGAGCCTATCTTATCGGAGGAAGAAGGCTCCAAACATGAAGGAGAGGAGATGGCCAGGCCTCCCTCTCCAGGACCCTCCTCTCTGGCAATGCCTCCGGAGGACACCGAAGGCCAAACGATAGGCTCAGAGCCAAGCACGTCCCTGCAGCCACAGGTGGACAGCGATGAGGAAAATAAGTGCTGGCTGGACCCTCGCCAGAGGCGCAGGGAGAAGCGCGCGCAGCAGAGGGGAAGGCGTGCCAGAGATTAGCTGAGTCACTGGACCACACCCCACAGGCTATAAAAGGGAGTGTGGTGGCCATTCCGACTCTTTGACGGACAAAGCTAATCTCTGGCGAAGCACTTTGCGCCTTCGGACACAACACCTATTTTGCTGTGGATTTAATTACGAACTGGACTATTCAAACTGTGTGTATTTTTGTCTGTGTTATCTGAGTAAAAGCTCTTGGCAGGCAGCCATGGAGTTGCTGCCAAGTTCCTTATCACTGACGTTGTGTGTTTGAAGAGGTTATTTAACCTCGGCTGGCTGGTTGGGTGTGTGCTTGGTACGGGGACAGAACATCCAGTCCCATGCTCGCTGCCTCCTGCACCCCCAAAATAATAAGACACACACACACACCCGATAATAAGGCCAAGCCCTTAATTTGGGGTTGAAAAGAAAATAAGACCCTGTCTTATTTTCGGGGAAACACGGTAGTCCTCGACTTACGACCACAACCCCAAAATTTCTGTGGCTAAGTGAGACATTTGTTAGTGAGTTTTACTCCATTTTCCCACCTTTCCCACCACCATTGCTAAGTGAATGACCACAGTTGTTAAGTTAGTGACATGGTTGTTAAGTGAATCTGGCTTCCCCCTTGACTTGGCTTGTCAGAAGGTCACAAAAGGGGACCCCGGGAAATGGCAACAGTTATAAATACGAGTCAGTTGCTAAGTGTCCAGGTTTTGATCATGGGGATGATGGAATCATCATTAGTGTGAAGTCCCTTTTTTCAGTGCCATTGTAAGCTTGAACAGTCACTAAATGAAGTCAAGGACTAGCTGCATTGTGAATAGCTTTAAATCACCTTGGCGACTTCTAGGATCTGAGCAAAAAAACTGGGCAGGATGAGATGCTTCTTGGCTCGAGTGACAGCGACGTACAGCAAATTCCACTCATCTTTCGGAATGGCTTCTGGGAGAGATTAAGAGAGGAGGAGGGAAAAGGAAAAACAGAGTTTAATGGGAATTCTTTGAACAGATCTGTTCCAAATACACATCAGAACTCTTGAGCACCGAGTGGTGTTCCATCCCAGCCACCAAGAAAGGGAGGTGTTCCATTGTTGATTAGATATTGCTATCAGGGCTTCCCTCAAAAGGAGAGAAAGGGAGGGAGGGTAATGGATGGATGGAAGGGAGAAGGAGGTGAAAAAAAGAAAACGGAGGGAGGGAGGAAGATGATAAAGATAGGAGGAAGGGAGGAAGAATGATGGAGGGAGGGAGAAGGAAAGGAGGAGGAGGATAGAGGGAAGGAGGGAGGGAGGGAGGGAGGAAGTTATGCTCACCAATTCTGTTTGAATGCAAATGTTCAAGATTGGACTTGCTCAGAAAGACATCATCAATTTTGACCGTGTCAAATTCCAGCCCTTTGGCCTTGTGCACAGTCCCTAGGATGTAATCTTAAAATACAGAGAGAGGAGAAGCCGTGAGACCCGTAACAGCTCATTTCTAAAGCTTTTCACGAGCAGCAGAGATCTCAAAGAAAGGGGGGCCTGGAAGCCTTCTCCAGCCTGAAGCTCCACAGGTGCTCAGAGTAAGAATGGGTCCATTCCATTCCCACTTTACTCCAAAGCGACTTGAAGTCAGGAGTGGACAGAGGTTCAGTGGTCCTTCTGCTCTCTGAGCTTGGTGGTATTCTTGCAGATGTTTCATGACCCAACTAGGTGACATCATCAGTGCTAGAAGGGAGTGGGTATTTTGACTCAGCTCCCCAAACACGACAAACCCTCTGTAGTTGAAGCAATGATTCTTTTATTAGGCGTGCCAACAGCTCCGGCAAAAAAAATTCTCTCTCACCGCAGGCTAACAACTCTGTCTGGCAGGGAAATGAATAGTTGTCTGCCCCATCTATTCATCTCTGCCCCCTGCCTTTTATCCCCCGAGCTAGGGTGGGACTTTCCTAGCAGCGGTGGCTCTTCCGTCCTGAAGACCGGCCCATAGATTTCCACTGCTCTCCTCTCCTCTGCCTTCTGTGCATCTGTGTGTCAAGCACTGGACTCAGCTGTTCCTCCTCCTCATCAGCCACTTCAGACCAGTTGGCTGGTGCGCGCATGCGCGCTGGAGCTGAGCTAGGGCACCATATTGGTTTGTCCACCAATATGTCTCCGCGTGCCACCTGTGGCCCCCGTGCCACAGGTTCGCCATCACGGTTATAGGCAGACAATAATAAAGTAGCTAGTTTGAATTCTATATATGTGGATCTGGTTGTTCGCACATGCTATTTACCTGCAACTTCTGGATGCCAAACATGGCACTGGCGTATCCTGTTTACCAACTCCGGAATACGTTCCCGGTATTTCTCCACAATTCCAATTTTTATTTCCAGTTGTTTGTCTTCTGATTTTTCCGCATAGTCCTTGATGCTGGCCAAACCCTTCTCAACCCACCTCTTGATGAAGAAATCCTTTACCTCGAGTTTCACTAGGAAGATCAAACAAGAGAATTTGTCTTTTGAAAAAGAGACAGCTGGACTTTCTGGTTTTTTTTTTCTTTTGAAGACGTTTCGCTTCTCATCCGAGAAGCTTCTTCAGCTCTGACTGGACGGTGGGGAACGGAAAGATTTATATTCCTTGCAGACAGCTGGTCATTTGCATCCTTTTAGGGAGACGTTGAGGCCACTTGGAGGTTGATCTCTGACCTCCTTCCAACCTCCAAGTGGCCTCAACGACTCTCGGAGAGAGTGCTAATACCAGGTGAAATTATAAAGTTATTTATAAATTTTAAACCACTTCCTTGTGCTTCATGATAGAATAAGAATAGGAATGGGAATGGGAATGGGAATGGGAATGGGAATGGGAATGGGAATGGGAATGGGAATGGGAATGGGAATGGAAGAGAAGAGAAGAGAAGAGAAGAGAAGAGAAGAGAAGAGAAGAGAAGGGACCTGAAGTCAGGACTGGACAGAGGTTCAGTGGCCCTTCTGATCTCTGAGCTTGGTGATATTGTTGCAGACGTTTCATGACCCAACTAGGTGACATCATCAGTGCTAGAACCAAATGGGATTTGTGGAGGATGAGGAAGAGGATGAGGTCCTAGGTAGGGGTGAAATCTATTTACCTTCCCTACCGGTTCAGAAGTGTGCACTCACCTTGCACAAAGCCTTCTGCACATGCACAGAGGATCAAAAACAGGTTACTTCCTGGTTAAAACCAGGAAGTAACGACATCCAGGTGGGTGGGTGGACCCTCACGCTGCCGCCACCAGTTCTCCGAACCTGCTGCTATCGGTTCGCCCGAACCGGTAGCATTTCACCCCTGGTCCTGGGTGATCTTTGGGCTTGGGTGTTTTCTTGCAGACATTTCATGACCCAACTAGGGAACATCATCAGTTGAGCTCATACAGATGTTTTTTTCCTCCAAAGATCCCATTTGAATCCCAATTTTACCTGGCTTTAATGTTAGAAAGCAACCAGTCGGGTAGAGGCTCAAATGAGGAATTACCCTAAACCCGTGATGGCGAACCTGTGGCACGCGTGCCGCAAGTGGCACGCAGAGCCATGATGCCTGGCACGTGCAGCATCACCCATTCCTCTTCCGGGGCACGCATGCGCACCAGCCAGCTAGTCTGCTGGTTACTGCTGTGCATGGGCGTGCGATGATCAGCTGGCCTTCATATGTGCAGAAGTGGCCGGCTGAAGGCATGCTCTTAGCATGGGTGTGCAACGGCCATGCCGTCGTCACCCACATGCAGCTCCGGGACATCCACCCCTTGCCAGCAAGGAGCACTGCTGCCAGTCGCTCCCTTGTGCCCGCCCTCCTGCTTGCCTTGTCACCGCCACTGCCGCTGCGAGGAAAGGCCCTGAAGCTGCACTACCTGGGATCCACGTGGGCTGCCACAGGGGGAGACCAGGTATGACTATACGCTGTCCGGAGTGCAAGGCTGGCAGGAGAAGGAGGCCCGGCTGCCTCTTAGCCAGTGCGAACGGCGTGCCGCCGCCTTCTACCCTGCCAGCTGCTCCTGCCACTGCCAGGGAAGCGGCAACGCAAGAACCACCAATCCCCTCGCTCCTGGGCCGGAAAGCCCAGCACCCAGCACCCAGTGGGGAGGAGCCAAGGTAAGGCCGTGTGTTCAGAACTTCCCCAGCTGGGACATGGCACTGCTGAGGGGGCGGGGCCTAGAGTGCTGCTGCTGGCCGGGAAACAGCTGTCTTGCCAGAGAACAGTTCGGTATCTGATTGTCCTCCAGTAAGAGGTGCACTGGTCCCCTTGGAAAAAGTGGCCGTGCACACGCATGCGCTGTGCGGGATGCATGCATTGGGGGGTGTCATGTGTGCATGCACAAATGGGGTGTGCATTGCATTATGGGTGCTGGCACGTGCGATAGCGGGAGCGCGCTCGGACTATTGGCATACAACGCCAAAAAGGTTCGCCATCACTGGCCTAGACTCCCTATGTAAACACAAACCACGGAGGAAAGCCCAAAAAGGCTTTGGGCCTTATCTAATCTTGGCAGTCTGGAAAGATTCCTATACAGGTAGAACTCAACTTACGACCACACTTGAGCCTAAAAGTTCCATTGCTGAGCACAATAGCTGTTAAGTGAGGTCTGCCCCAATTTTATGACCATTTTACAGTCTTTCTTGTCACCGTTAAGTGAAACACTGCAGTTATTAAGTTAGCAACATGGTTGTTAGGCGGATCTGGCTTCCCCATTGACTTTGTCAGAAGGTCGCAAAAGTGACCGTGGGACACTTCAGCCGTCATAAATGTGAATCAGTTGCCAAGCGTCTGAATGTAAATCACGTGACCCCCCCCAAGGATGCTGCAATGGTCGTAAGTGTAAAAAAACAGTCATAAGTCACTTTTCTCAATGCCATTGTGACTTCGAACGGTCTGTAAACGAACTGTTGTAAGTCAAGGACTTCCTGTATTATAGGCAGACAATGATAAAGCAGATAGTTTGAATTCTATATATGTGGATCTGGTTGTTCGCATGTGATATTTACCTGCACTTTCAGGATCCGGGACATGGAATTGGTGCATGCTTCTCACTAGTTGCGGAACATCGTCGTAATTTCTCAAAATTCCTGTTGTTAGTTCCAGCTGTTTTTTTCGTGTTGCATCATATTCCTCAATGCTCCTGAAGCCCTTCTCTACATACTTCTTGATGAGGGTACTCTGGAGCTCCTTCATGAAGGCACTCTTGAGCTCGTAATTCTCTAGGAAGATCAAACAAGAGAGTTTTTTTCAAGAGGCAACTGGACTTTCTTGTTTTTTTTTCTTTTGAAGATGTTTCGCTTCTCATCCAAGAAGCTTCTTCGGTTCCGACTGGATGGTGGGGGAATGGGAGGATTTATATTCCTTGCAGACAGCTGGTTATTTGTGTCCTTTTAGAGAGTCGTTGAGGCCACTTGGAAGTTTATCTCTGCCCTCCTTCCAACCCCCAAGTGGCCTCAGTGACTCTCTAAAACAATGCAAATGACCAGCTGTCTGCAAGGAATTGTTGTGACCGAGGCCCAAGTAGTGATTACCAAACACAATTCAGTTCTGAACAAACTTATTTTATTAAAACAGCTGAGAATTAATTCATTCTCAGCTTTAGTCCAAAACAAATTCTTCGGCCTTATCACCAACCTGATGTCTCTGGCAACCTGCCAAAAGCTTTTCTTGGCAAAAACACCCACAAAGTTCAAGAGATGCTGACAAGAAGCACTGGAATCAACGTTGCAAGGCAGGTAAAACAGCTCCACGCACCCCAATGGTACCGTAACAGCAGCCTGGCTGCTTCCCTTCCCCGCCGTCTCTTTGTCGAGGGGGTGGCAGGTGGGACAGGGGAGAAGCGAGACGCATGCAGCGTGATGGGGCTCCTCTCCCCGTCTCTTCTCCACCCCCTCGCCGGGCATGGCAGCGTGTCTCACATCTCCCCGGCCCGACCCCTCCCCACCTGCCACCCCCAAATTGCATCCAATTTAGGCAGGGGCAGGAAGCCCTGCCATACCCGGCAAGGGGGGGGGGGGGAGAAAAGAGACGGCAAGAGGAGTAAGCCCTGTCTCGCTCTATGCGTCTCGCTTCTCCCCCACCCCACCAGTGCTGTTTTAACTGTGAATGGTCGCTAAACGAATTGTAAGGTAAAGGCTACTCAGCTGAGGTAGATACTTCACACAACACTGTAAACCTGCAAACCTTAAATTATATTCGGGTTAGCCCAGGGGTGAAATGCCGCCGGTTCGGACCGGATCGCCTGATCCGGTAGCGATGGCGGCAGGTGGTTTGGAGAACATGTAGCAAAAATCCCTGCCCCCCCCCCCCTCCCCATGCCCAGTTGAGCTGCGCGATCTTCAGGGGCTTTTTTTTTTACTTTTAAAAGCAATGTTTTTAAAAGTAAAAAAAATATTGTGTGCCACAGCTGATCGCCCCCCCTCGTGCGCTGTTCTACTTACCACATGCCTCCTTTTGGCATGCACTGCGCACCTCGCATTTGGTGCGTGGTGTGCACTGCGCATGCGCTGCCAGCAAACCGGTAGTAAACCGGTTCAGATTTCACCACTGGGTTAGCCCAAAGAGTCTTACATGTTTGGGGCCAGTGTGGGGCCCACACAAGATGGCTACTATAATGGGTGTAACCTGACTTTATAAATCATAGTTTACAGCAGAGGCCTTGAAACTTGGCAGCTTTAAGACTTGTGGATTTCAACTATGCTGGCTGGAGAATTCTGGGAATTGAAGTTCACAAGTCTTAAAGCTGCCAAGTTTGAAGATCTCTGGTTTACAGCTTAGCATGATGGCTGAACGGATCCAGCTGTAGCTTAGTCAACGAACTAGGATTAAGTCAATGTACGAATCAGGCAACTTGGTGTTGATATTAGGGTTGTTCATGTTATTGGCTGAGGGTTTGAGGGAAGGAAATCCCCTAAGATTGGAACATTTTTGAATTATTATTTATTTACTTATTTAACATACTGTATTTTTCAGAGTAAAAGATATAAGACGCACCTACCTTTTTTGGTGAGGAAAAGAAGAAAAAGAAATCTCCCTCTGCCTCTGAGCAATTTTGCCTCATTGCAGCAAACAGCCTGCTTTACTTTCAGTTTCGATTTCAGCATAGCTTGATTAGCACAAGGGGAAAAAAATCTGCTCCAGCAATTTTCTTCTTTGCAGCAAGCAGCAGAGGCCTGGGCAAAACAGCTGAGAGCCAGGAGGCCGATCCAAACAACTTGTGCTAATTAGACTGTGCTGAAGCTGAAAAGAGCTGTTTTTTCTTGCTGTTTGCTGCAAGGAGGTAAACTGCTGGGAGGCAGAGGCCAAAGGGTGGGGGCCAGTGGGTGGGTGGGGCTACATTCGGTTTATAAGACGCACCCAAATTTTCACCCCCTTTTAGAGGAGAAAAAGTTGCGTCTTATACTCCGAAAAATACGGTAAATTCATGCCAGTGGCCAAGCATCTGAATTTTGATCGTGGCAACCGATTCATATCTATGACGGTTGCAGTGCCTTGGGGTTACGTGACCTCCTTTTGCAACCTTCTGACAAGCCAGGTCAATGCGGAAGCCAGATTCACTTAACAACTGTCTTGATAACTGAACCATTGCACTGATTTACTTAACGACTGTGGCAAGAAAGATCGTTGTCATGTTGTCACCTGCAACCGGGTAGCCTTTACGTCCCTTTTTCAGTTACCTACAGTCACATTTTTGCTGAAAAGCTGCACTTCTTCCATCTTTTGAACCCTTGGTTCACTTAACCAGAGATCTCGCTTAAGCACCCCTGCCAAAAGGGTCATAAAATTGGGTTGGCCACATAACTGACCCATTTTATGACTTCACAGACATATGACCAGGCACTTCTTACAGCTTGGACACATACAAAAAAATAACCCAGTTGAGAGAACTCACGTTTAGAATGCAGGACATTATAGAGATCTTCAATTATATCCAGTCCAACAGTATTAATACCCTAATGAAAAAAAGACAACAATATCAAGATGAACCCTGTGAGATGGGTGTTGTAGTCCGATGCATAGTGATAATTATCTGTCTTTACTTTGGGGCTCCTTAATGCCCCCCATACAATAAGGTGCATCTGCAGAATTCCCTGGTTTAGCAAACACATGCCTCAACATAGCAGTCTTCCAATATCTGAGGAGCTGCCACAAAGAAGAGGGGAGTCAAATTATTCCCCAAAATACCAGAGGGCAGGCAAGAAGGAATGGATGGAAACTCATCAAGGAGAGAAGCAAATGAGGACCCAGATGGTTGGGGGCAGTGGTGGGATTCTGCCGGTTCTAGGGGGTTCGGCCGAACCGTTTGTTAAATTGCTGGCTCGCCCCACCCCTTGCCCCGCCCCTCCGCACCACTATTTATTGCCAACAAATAGTGGTGGGCGAGGGGCGAGCCAGCAATTTAACAAACGGTTCCGTGTTTTTTTGTAATTTTATTGGCCCGCGGAGCTTCAGCATAGGCTAATTAGCCCTTGATTAGATCGGCTCCCGACTCTCAGCTGATTTGCTCTCAGCTGTTTTGCTCAGGGCTCTGCTGCTTGCTGGAGCAGATTTTTTTCCCCCTAGCTATGCTGAAAAACGAAACGGAAAGTATCATTTCACAACTGCTTCTCTTCCACCATGGTGACAAGATAGGGCAAAAATGTAAAATGTGAGGACAGTCATAAGTTCGAGGACTGGTCAAAAGTGCGAGGACCAGTCAAAAATAACTTTTTCAGCCCTCTGAGTAGTCCATATGCATAAAAGGATACAGCAATAGAGAGGGATGAAGGAAGGGAAGGGAAATTAGAGTAGGAGGGAGGGGAAGAGAGGGAGGAAGAGAGGAGGAGAAGGAGAAAGGAAGAGGAAGTAGGGAGGAGAAGAAGAGGGGGAGGAAGAGAAAGTAAGAAGGAAAGAAAAGAGAGAGGTGATAGGTTTGAGGAGAAAGATTGCTGTACAATAAAAAAGATGAAAGGGAAAAAAGCCAACCCCAAACAAATATAAAGATATTAAGATAAAGAATGAATTGTTAAACTTTAAAGAATAAAAGAGAACAAATATGAATAAATAACAATAATTAGAAACACACATACAAACATACAATGTATTTTCTTTGAACAGAGTATTTGGCCGGCTCACAAATTTAAAGTGTTTAGTCATTTCAATTAAATTTACAATTTCTATATTTCCTTTTTGCCATATTTATTCCTCATCTATTTTTATAAAAAACCAATATTACCCTTCATCCTCATCTCTAATCTTAATCAAATTCAATTTTTCCCTTCTATATTATACCCCTTCCCATTGTCATCTATTTTTATATCCATCCTCACATAGGTTAATTATGTAATATTACAGTTGTTTAATACAAATTCAACATTTTAATATAAATCAATTAGTTATATAACTATCTTTTTTGTATATTAATCAATATGAACATGAATATTCCCATTATTTCCATGCAATCCAATTTCTTACAAATCCATTAATTATATTTACCAATAATAATAAACCAAATAATTTCCCCCATATATTCCTCCAAACCACAACTTAACCATTTCTGCTTTCAATACAATATACAATTAATAGTATCTCAATTATTACAATTCTCTAGTTAAATAGAGCTTTTTTTCTTTTGTGTTTTAAAATCCTGAACTCTCCTCTTTTTCCCTAAATTTCCCATTGTTTGCACCTACCTTTTTTGGTGAGGAAAAAGAAAAGAATTCTGCCTGCCTAATTTTCCAACCTTGCAGCAACAGCAAAGCAGTTTCAGTTTCGTTTCTCCGCATAGCTAGGGGAAAAAAAATCAGCACTCTTTGCAAGGAAGCAGAAGAGCCCTGAGCAAAACAGCTGAGACAAATCAGCTGAGAGCCGGGAGGCCAATTAGCCTATGCTGAAGCTCCGTGGGCCAATAAAATTACAAAAAAAACACCGAACCCTTTGTTAAATTGCTGGCTCCCCCACCCCTCGCCCACCAATATTTATTGGCAATAAATAGTGGTGCGGAGGGGCGGGGCAAGCCAGCAATTTAACAAACGGTTCGGCTGCACCACTGGCTCTAGGGCGGCCCTTTGAAGCCCCGTGGCAAGAATTTGAAGTTTTTTTTTCCTCTAGCCATCGGAGGCAGCAATAGATTGGGAGTGGGCAGGGTAAGCGAACGGCCGGCGATCCAACAGAGCAGAGAGACTGAGGGTGAGTGAAGGCGTGGAAGCTGCTTTCTCCATCCTGCTCTCTTGCGTCCGGAGCCGGTGGGGAACCACGTGGCAGCCCACATGGATCCCAGGCAGCGGAACTCAGGCTAGGGAAGGGGTGGGCAATTGTGGCTCTTTTACAACCTCTGGCCTTCAACTCCCAGAATTCCTGAGACAGCTTGGCTGTCTCAGGAATTCTGGGAGTTGAAGGCCACAGATTGTAAAAGAGCCACAATTGCCCACCCCTGGCTACGGTAGGCTGGCGCCGCGCGGGTGGGAGGCGAGGGGCGGGCGAGCCAACAATTTAACAAAGGGTTCGGCCGAACCCCCTAGAACCCCCAGAATCCCACCACTGTGTAGGCCCCTCTTGATCTTGAGGCCCTAGGCTGAAGCCTAGTTAGCCTATAGGAAAATCCGGCCCTGCTGGTTGGGGGGCAAGAGGCTGACTCTGTAAACTGCTTAGAGAGGGCTGTGAAAGCACTGTGAAGCGGTATGTAAGTCTAAGGGCTATTGCTAAATGGGAAGGGAGGGAGGGAGGGAGGAAGCAGGAGAAGAGGAGAAGGAGGGAGGGAGGGGAGGAGGAAGGAAAGAATGGAAAAGGAGGAGGAGGGAGGGAGGGAAGAAGGAGAGGAGGAAGAGAGGGAGGGAGGAAGAAGGGAGAAAAAGAGAGAGGGAAGGAAAAGAGGGAGGGAGGAATCAATCCCTATTGCACCCTTCTTGGGCCTTCTCACACTCACCCCCAGGAAGTGTATCTTAGCAGGTGAGTCTCCACCTGTAACTTTCACAGCATTGTCAAAGACATCTCTGTTGGTCCGGGATAACCAAGTCTCCTTCCCCTCCACTCTGACAACACCTGTCAAAATCAGAGTAACCTGTCAGCCCCACTTAGCAAGACTTACTTGGAGCAATAAAAGGACAACTGACTAAAAACACTCACCGGCCCAGTAATTTCCCACCATGTTTTTCCGGATTTTTCTGGAAACATCCAGAAGGGTTGCACCAACGTAAGCTATTTCGTAGCCAAACCAAAAACTCTATGGAAGCAAGAGGGGAAAGGAAAATGCAGCATCATTGATCCAATTTTGTTTTGCAGGGGACAAGGGAATGCTGCACTGATTAACCCAACCCAACCAGAACTGGAAGTGCTGGTTTTTGGCAAAACCATTGTAACACTAAAACACATGATAGAGAGAGAGACAGAGACAGAGAGAGAAGGAAGATAGATAGATAGATAGATAGATAGATAGATAGATAGATAGATAGATAGATAGATAGAGATGATAGAGATAGATAAATGATACAGATAGAGATAAATAGATAAATGATATAGATAATAGAGATAGATAGACAAACAGATGAAAAATAATAGAAACAGATGATAGATAGATCGATAGATAGAGATAGACAGATGGATAAAGATAAATAGGTAGATATAGATAAATGTTAGAGATAGAGATAGATAGATAATAGATAGAGATAGATAGATAAATAGATAAATGATAGAGATACAGATGGATAGATAGAGATAAATAGGTAGATATAGATAAATGATAGATAGATAGAGATAGATAGATAGAGATAGATAGAGATAGATAGATAAATGAGAGAGGGAGAAAGAGATTGAGAGGGAGATATATGATGGATGGATGTGTGGATCTTCTCCGGTTGGCACTGTGAGATAGCTTTGAACTGGAACTGGAGAAGATCCACAGTTTACATCCATGAATTTCTAGGAACTGAATTTTTTGGATCGAATTGCATATCTTCTCCAGTTGGAATTATGAGATTACTTTCCATTGGAACTAGAGAAGATCACAATGAGATCCCTGAATCGCTAAGAACTGAATCTTCCGGCTCTACGATCTACAGCTAACCCACAACTCCAAGTCAAATATCTCAGCTCACCTGCCCTCCTGCCTCGGCTTACCTGCGTCAGGTAGAAGATGCGGCTGTTGGGCACATCCAAAACTGTGTTGTCAGCTCCTCGGAAGGTGTAAATCTGTTGGTGTGGATTTCCTACCAAGATCACTGGACAGTTTTGCAAGAGGACAATACTCATCATAGCTAGAGAAGTGGGGTGGGGGGAAGAGATCTTTAGAAGCTCAGTGTGGAAAGGAGACTAACATTCTCACAGGAACAAGGCCCTCAAAAAGCCACAGTGGCTTTAATGAGCCATGGATTTTGATCTTTTATCAGAAATGATGGGAACTAGAATTTCCAAAACTAGAGGAAATCACACCCTTCTATTCCAAGACCGTTAAGTTAGTTTTGCCCCATTTTATGGCTTTTCTTTGCCACTGTTGTCAAGTGAATCACTGCAGTTGTTAAGTCAAGTCACCCAGTTGCTAAGCGAATCTGGCTTCTCCTTTCACTTTGCTTGTCAGCAGGTCGCAAAAGGAGATCATGTGACCTCCCAAGACACTGTCGTAATTTCATATGGTCACTAAGTGAACTGTTGAAAGTCGAGGATTATCTGTACTTGAACTCAGAACCTACACCTCACTCACCGTGGGTGCAGTCTTGGGCCTCATCCACCATGATGACGTTGTAACGCTCCGTATCGGTGGAAAGAGAAGGCTTCTGGAGTTGCCAAAGTTTCAAGTAACCTAAAAGGCACAAGACTGATGCTTAAAATCAATGTACAATAAAACAACATTGTATGATTTTGTTTCTTGGGCTCCTGTGTTATAGAGCCCACTATGACTTTAAAAAGGAAGCATTATGCAGAGATGGACAGATTATCTATGGAAATGAAGGAGAGGGAGGATACCGAGTACTATTTAATATGGAATAAATGGTATTCGTGGTTGGAGAGTAAAGATAAAATTTAAGGGATGTTTTTGTTACGAGATCAAATTGTAAAGTTAAGATAATTTAGATAAAGATGTAAGTTTAAGATACAGATATTTAGAAGTAGAATTTGTGTAAAGAGGTTAAATAGGCTAGAGATACCGATGCAGAAAAGTTGTTATTAGTATTGAAATTTTGATATGTTTGGTTTTGGTTGTTTATATTTTTTTGTTGTGTGTGTGTGTGTGTGTGTGTGTGTGTGTGTTTTTCTTGCTTTTTTGTGTATTATTTTTCTTTTTGTACTGTGTATTTTAATCTTTGGAAATTTAATAAATATTATTTTAAAAAAATAAATAAATAAAAAGGAAGCATTATGTTATAATTTCTTTTAATACAGAGTTCCCCTACCTTGGCCACTTAAAGATGCGCGGATTTTAACTCCCAAAATGCTGGCTGCAGAATTCTGAGAATTGAAGTCCACAAGTCTTAAACTGACCAAGTCAGGATTAGAACTCACCAAATTCAAGCCAGTCGGCTTTCATTCTTAAGGCGGGACTAGAACTCACTGTCTCCTGGTGATTGGTCCAAGGTCACCCAGCTGGCTTTCGTGCCTAAGGTAGGACTGGAATTTCCCTCCATGAAGAAAATTTCCCCTTTATTCTTTTTTTCCCCCGTTTCTTCAGCAGAACTAAATGCCACTAACCTTCCCTCACATATTCCACTTACCGTCGAACGGCATGTGGTATGCCTTCTCCTCGGTTGGGCCCAGCTCTTTCATCTTGGCCCATATTTGTTTCGCTTCTTCGACAATGATCTAGAAAGCAAAAGCTGGTAAGAGGATCTTGCTGGTGAAAAGATTCAGATCCAGAGTTTTCTCATCTAGGCTGCCCAGAGATCTTGAAAGGAGAAGGAAGGTCTGGATCTACAGCTAGTCCTCGACTTACGATCACAATGGAGTCCCACATTTCCACTGCTAAGCAAGAAAGTTGTTGTTTTGTCCCATTTTACAACCTTTCTTGCCACAGTTGTTTTATTGAAAAAAGTTTTTCAAATACAAATTTTTCCCCCCTTTTCCCCCCCTCCTCCCTAACCCCCCCTTCCCCCTCCCCTCCCCGTGGCTTCTCCAAAATAAAACCCAAATTCATAACAGATTATATAATACTATACCATCCCTTTACTCCACCCCCCATACGCTGACCCTTTCTTTCTAATAGTATTATTATATCCCCCTTATACTATACATTTCAAAGTAACATTCAACTGTAAAATTATATAATAAATCTTAGTTTAGCAATTTCTACTCATAATCTACCCTTTTCCTCCTCCCCCATACATGTATCTCTTAATTCAAATCTTTTACATATATTAATATAACATTTCAAAGCAACCTTCAGCTATAAAACTATATAATAAATCCTAATTTGGCATTTATTCAACTCATAGTCTGCCCATTTCCTCCACCCCCATACATATATCTCTTAACTCAAATCTTTTACATATATTTATATCTAAACATAACATCCCTTTTCTTAAACTAAACAATCAGTAAACTAACCTATCTCCACCCACTTTCCTACAGGTCTACCATACATAATATTTTTTAATATCTTTATTCTTCTGCCCACACCACTAAAAAATAGTGGCTTGCCACAGTTGTTAAGTGAATCACTGCAGTTGTTAAATTCATCACATGGTTGTTAAGGGAATCTGGCTGTCCCCTTGACTTTGTCAGAAGGAGATCACGTGACCTCCTGGACACTGCAACGGTGATAAATACAGGTAGTCCTCGACTTAGGACCACAATAGAGCCCAAAATTTCTGTTGCTAAGCGAGACAGTTCTTAAGTGAATTTTGCCCCATATTGCAACTTTTCTTGCCACTGCCGTTGTTAAGCTCGTCACACGGTTGTTAAGTGAATCTGGCTTGCCCATTGGTTTTGCTTGTCAGAAGGTCACAAAAGGGGATTGCATAACCTCAGGACACTGCGACTGTCATAAATATGAATCAGTTGCCAAGCGTGTGAATTTTGACCACGTGACTGCAGGGATGCTGCAACGGTCGCAATTGTGAAAAACAATTGGTCCTAAGTCACTTTTTTCAGTGCCGTTGTAACTTTGAACGTTCACTAAATGAACTGTTGTAAGTCGAGGGCTACCTATCACAGGTCCTAAGAACCAATACTCACTTGCTTTTCGCGTTCCTTCACATCTTCTCCACAGCCGGTGTGCTCCACCGTGATGGACTCATCTGCCGAAGCGAGAAAGGTTTTGAGGGTCTGAACAACCTTCGTGCCACTGGCCTCAGGATTGGAGAGGACACGGCCTACCTCATTGGTCAGTATGTCCCTAATAAATTTATTCCTGTATCTACAGCAGAATGAAAGAGGGAAGGTGAAATTAAGCTTATTTGAATGTTGATTACTGGCAAGGAAGCCTTTTTGGTCTTTGTTTCCTTTTTGGCTCTTTGGTTGTCGGTTTTCAATGGTATGTAGTTGTTGTTTCTCTCAATGTGCCTGTTGACGGCTGATCCCCCCCCCCAAGTGCCAGGAATTCTCTGGCATTTTAGATAGCACTAGCACTTTGACTTATATACCGCTTCACAGTGCTTTACATCCCTCTCTAAGCGGTTTACAGAGTCAGCTTCTTGCCCCCCAACAATCTGGGTCCTCATTTTACCCACCTCGGAAGGATGAAAGGCTGAGTCAACCTTTTTTTTTTTTTTTTTTAATTTGATTTATATGCCGCCCTTCTCCGGAGACTCAGGGCGGCTTACAATGCGATAAGCAATAGCCTTCATCCTTTTGTATATTTATACAAAGTCAGCTTATTGCCCCCACAAACTGGGTCCTCATTTCACCTACCTTAGAAAGGATGGAAGGCTGAGTCAACCTTGAGCCTTGGAGGGATTCGAACCAGCAGAAATTGCAGGCAGCTGTGTTAATAACAGGGTGCACTAAACCACTGTACTATCAAGGCTCTTGAGCCGGTGAGACCCGAACTGCCATACTGCCATACTGCATTCTAACCACTGCGCCACCACAGCTCCTAGATAGCACTGTTGATGTTACCTACTTGGCTCATGAAATGTTTGCAATCAAACAACCAAGCTCAGAGAGCACCAAAGACCTCAGAGTCCATATTAATTTCTAACACATTTCTAACACAAAACCATATTTAAAAAACAGTAAAATTCATTAAAAAAAAATCAAATACATTAATAAAATCACCCCTGACCCCCACCTCCCACCCCAGCGACAGCAGATCACGCGAGCCATTTAACGGGGTCCATCCTGTTCTGGGTTCCCCAGGCCCACTGGCAGAACCCAGTCTTCAGCGCCTTCCGGAAGAGAACGGCCTTCAGCACCATTTTAATCTCTGGGGAATGAGAAGGCCTTTCTTCTGGGTCTCACCAGGTGTATCTCCCTCGGAGAACCCCCAGATTACGCACAGGGTCTGTTTGGGGTAGTGCCACCGAATCCAAGACCAAAGATGGCAATTCTCCCTGAGCCAACGAACCCCAAACCCAGAGCCATTCGGTCTTGCCAGGGTTTAGTTTCAACCCATAGCTCCCCATCCAACCTCTAACAGCCTCCAGGCACTGCGAGAGGGAGGACACGGCACCACGGGCTGAAACATGCATTAAATCATGATGCGGTGGGAAAAGAACATCTGTTATCCATCTCGAATTGAATTGAAGTGAATCCCTTGTTCATGAAATCTCCTGACAGTGAGAACAATTAATCAGTGAGACGGCTTGCTTCTAGAAGTTGTGGGTGCTCCAACAGCGGCAGTGTTTAAGAACAGATTTGACAACTATTTGGTCTGAAATGTTATAGGGTCTCCTGCCTCAAAAGGGGGTTGGACTAGAAGACCTCCAAGGTTCCTTCAAATTCTATTATTCTGTTCTTTCAATCTTTCCAGCAGTGGAGAAATCCTATTCTATTTCATAAATGTCCTAAGAAACCATTTCAAAATAATAAATTATTGTTTCATTTCTGGTTTGTTGGGATCTGACCACCTCTTTGGTTTTATCGCTATTATTTTTAGCGGGTTTATCTTTTCTTTTTCATTATTTTATACCGCATCATATCACTGTTTTTTAAAAAAAAACCAGGACAGATTCATTAAATAGGATGCAGTCACTTACTTTTTGCCGACTTCGTCATAAGCTAAGGAATGGAAGGTTTTACAGGTGACATTTTTAGAGCAAAACAGCAATGATTGCTTCTTGATTTTGTTGAACGCTATGAACAAGAATTTAAGCTCCGACCACTCCCTGGCATACTGGAGCAGAGTGGATGTTTTCCCAGTGCCTGTGTGAAAAATTAAAAACATTTCAGTCCTTCTGGATTCCCCGCCCCCCCCGCCCCCCAAGCCCGGTTCCTTCCAGACAGCCATGATGACAGAAAAAATTCCCAGGATTTTATAGGTTGAAGGTGTGAGGTTAGACTGAAGCTTCCATGTGTAAAGATGGAATTAAGCAAGGTGGATAAAATCCAAGAATCTTGTCTAATAGATCCCTTCTGATACAAAGAAACCAAGTCATTAAGAAAACAAAGAAAAAATCTCATCAACAGTTATCAGACTTCAAAATCAACAATACAGATAGTCCTCCACTTATGACCAAAACCTTTTGTTGCTAAGTGAAACATTTGTTAAAGTGATTTTTGCTCCGTTTTACCACCTTTCTTGCTACAGTTGTTAAGCGAATCACCAGAGTTGTTAAAATTAGTAATCCGGTTGTTAAGTGAATCTGGTTTTCCTGTTGATTTTGCTTATCAAGTGGTCGGAAAAGGGGATCATGGAACCCCAGGACAATGTAACCGTCATAAATGTGAGTCACTTCCCAAGCATCTGAATTTTGATCATGTGACCATGGGGATGCGGCAATGATCTTAAGTGTGAAAAAATGCTCATAAGTCACTCTTTTCAGTGCCGTTTGAATGGTCACTGTGAAGTGTTGTGCGTCTACGTTAGAAGCTGTCAATTTACAAAGCAAGGACTTTGTGGGTTCAAGAGTGCTAGCCTAGTGGAGAAGGGTGTGCATGAGTGTATATGAGTGTGAGTGTCAGGTGTGCCTCCTTTCAATACTCAAGAAAGAAAAACCCAGACTCCATTTTCATAGAGAAAGGTACTTTTACTGAGTATGAACTGAATGCAACCAAAGAAAAGCAAGGTCTGAGGCAAAAGGTGTGAAAATTACATATAGAAAGCATCCCCAAAATCCTTCCAACCGTCCAGGGAAAATTATCCAATCCACATTCTCCCCAGGGGTCATGTGAGGTGCAGCATCCGATGGTGCCATCCTCCGGCTATGCCACGATGGTTGACCTTGAGTTGTTATCAGCTTCAAAGAAAACGCTAAAGAAAACTTTCTCTTCTCTTCTCCACCAGCTCACTTCCCCCCTCCCAGACATTCCAATAGCTCCCCCTTCCCCCCCCCGTTACAATGGTAGCAGAGCAAGCAAGCAATGAAAAAGCGGAGGGTGACAGTGAGAGAAAGAGAGAGAGAGTGTGTGTGTGTATGTGTGTGTGTGAGAGAGAGAGAGAATGAAGAAAATATTTGTAGCTCAGGGTTGAACTTTTGGGTTCTTGATGCTCTCTGAGCTGGGTGGTTTTCTTGCAGACGTTTCATGACCCAACTAGGGAACATCATCAGTGCTAGAAGGGAGTGGGGTTTGCAGGGAGGAGGAGGAGGAGGAGGAGGAGGAGGAGGAGGAGGAGGAGGAGGAGGAAAGCATGGGGCTTTTGATAGTTTCTGAGCTTGGTTGTTTTCTTGCAGATGTTTCATGACCCAACTAGGGAACATCATCAGTGCTAGAAAGGAGTGAGGTTGGTGGAGGAGGAGTGGGGAGGGGGAGGGGGAGGAGAATTGTGGGATCTCTGAGTTTGATTGTTTGCTTGCAGGCATTTCATGATCCAACTAGGGAACATCATGAAATGTCTACAAGTAAACAATCAAACTCAGGATCCCTCAGCTTCCCCCCCCCCTCCTCTCCAAATCTCCACTCTCTTCTAGCACTGATGATGTTCCCTAGTTGAGTCATGAAACGTCTGCAAGAAAACCACCCAGCTCAGAGAGCACCGAGGACTCCACAGTTCATCCCTGAGCTACAAATATTCTCTTCTATCGGCAACACTACAATCTCCGTAACAGTGGAGAAGAACCATAGCAGCATGCATCACCCACAAGGAGAATCTTTAGCCAGAGAAATGAAGATCTGGACAAGGTTAGGGCAGCTCAAAAAATATGCAATGATTAGCGAGTTTGCATTTACAGAGGGAATCAAGAATCTTCTGGCCTCCGGCTGCCTTACCTGCAGAACCCACAATTTTTACCCGGTCTTCAGGGTTAAGCCTGTGGTTTAAGATCAGTTGTTGTTCACTAGTAGGTTGTGAAATAGGCCTGTCGATGAATAGAACCAGAAGATAGTAAAAGGTTAACATAGGTAATCATGTGGTCTATACAACAGAGCAAACAGGGTCTAATTCAAGGTTTCTCAATCTTGGCATCTTTAAGATATGTGGACTTCAACTCCCAGAATTCCCCAGCCAGCATTTGCATTTGCTGGCTGGGGAATTCTGGGAGTTGAAGTCCACACGGCTTACGGTTGTCAAGGTTGAGACACATTGGGCTAAATTGTTCTCCTCGGAAAACCTGGACAGTTAGTCCTCAGCTTACAACATTTCATTTAGTGACCGTTCAATGTTACAACAGCACTGACAACAGTGACTTACGACTGTTTTTCACACTTACGACCATTGCAGCATCCCAATGGTCACGTGATCAAAATTCCGATGCTTGACAACTGATTCATATTTATGACGGTTGTAGTATCCTGGAGTCAGGTGATCCCTTTTGCAACCTTCGGAAAAACGAATTCAAGGGGGAGGCCAGATTCATTTAACAATTGTGTTACTCACTTAACAATGGTGGCAAGAAAAGTCATAAAATGGGGCAAAATTCACTTAACCTATGTTTCCCTTAGCAACAAGTAATTTTAGGCTCAATTACAGTCTTACGTTGAGGACTACCTGTACATGTTTGCAAACATTCCGTAAAATCCTGGTTGTTCATACAGGTAGTCCTCGACTTATGATCACAATTGAGCCCAACATTTCTGTTGTTAACTGTTGTTAAGTGAGTTTTACCCCATTGTCCAACCATTCCTGCCACTGTTGCTAAGTGAATCACCGCACTTGTTAAGTTAGTGACATGGTTGTTAAGTGAATCTGGCTTCCCCTTTGACTTGGCTTCTCAGGTCGCAAAAGGGGATCACGTGACCCCGGGGACACTGTGACCGTCATAAATACGAGTCAGTTGCTAAGTGTCCGAATTGTGATCACATGACCGCAAGGATGCTGCAATTGGTCGTAAGTGTGAAAAGCAGTCATGAGTCACTTTTTTCAATGTTGTTGTAACTTTGGTCACTAAACTGTTATAAGTTGAGAACTACTTATATTAACACAGAAACTTAACGTACATACCTAAAACCTCCTCCACTGCTGGGTAATTCAGGATCATTTGTGGAAGGTGTGTTGCAGAGTGAATTCTCCAAGTGATGCAAGCAATAAGAAACACTGTAGTGAAACCTAGAAGAATACAGAAATTGGAAAAAATTAAAATGAACCTCAAAGTAAACTCTAAATTGTACAAAACCCAGGAAAAATAATTCAGAAGGGGGAATAAACACACCTCGACAGATTTCTGTTTTAATGAACCAACCCTTAAAAGCAGCAGCATCTCTTTGCAGATGCCTGAGAGAGCCTGAGCAATGTTGCAACTGCTTTAATGAATAGGAGAGGAGTTTTATTTTTAGTTATATTTATTGATATCCTGCCTTTATTTTTGCACATAACTCAAAGGGGTGAAAATAGCCAATGTAGCTTCCTTCTCCTCCACACAACAACAACCCTGTGAGGTGGGTTGGACTGAGAGAGACACTAGCCCAAAGTCACCCAGTTGGCTTTCATGCCTAAGGTGGGACTAGAACTCATGTCTCCTGCTCATTGGCCCAGCCAGCTTTCATGCCTAAAGCGGGACTAGAACTCACTGCTGCTTTCTAGCCTGATACATTAACCACTAGACCAAATTGGCTGTCATGCTAGATTCAAAGTGCTTTTGCTGAATGCAAAGTTTTAAATGCACGCACAGCCCTGTCAAAGATACTCCTAGTTTTACTATTGCCGTAAACTACAGGTATCAGTCCTAGGAACCTCCTGACCCTTTGCAAACTTACCTGTTACTGATCTTGACCTCATTCTCCCGCATGGCATAAAGTAGGGTTGCCATGGAATACAAGATTTCAAGGATGTCCTCCGATGACATGGGGAAGTTGCGACTTTGGAGACAGTCCATCAGCTCCTGAATGTCACAAACGCCTCCAGCAAAGAGCACAATGGCCGCCATCACTGCCCGAACGTAGGCCGGCTGGAAGACCATGGAGTGAATCATTATAGGGGTGGGGGAAACAATTTTTTCTCTCACGGGTTGTATTATCTGTCCTGTCTGACAGGGGAGCAGGGTGAATGGTACAAGGAGTGCTCCAGCTTACAGTTATGCAAGGAATGTGGGGTCCTTGGTGCTCTCTGAGCTTGGTGGTTTTCTTAAAGACGTTTCAACGCCTGACTAGGTAACGTCATCAGTGCTAGACGGGAGTGGGGTTTGCAGAGAGGATGTGGAGGACTGTGGAGTCCTTGGTGCTCTCTGAGCTTGATTGTTCTCTTGCAGACATTTTATTAACCAACTAACTAACATCACCAGTGCTAGAAGAGAGTGGCTTTTGCAGAGAGGGGGAGAAGGAGGAAGACTGTGGGATCCTTGGTGCTCTGAGCTGGGTTGTTTTCTTGCAGACATTTCATTACCCAACTAAGTAACATCATCAGTGAAAGAAGGGAAGGGGAGGAGGAGGAAAAGAACTATAAGATCCTTATTATTTGGAAGCCTGGCACTCAGACTAAGCACTAAATAGTTGCTAAAACAAATGGTTTGGAATTATCTGTCTGGGAATCCATTGCCTTTTGCGTGACATCCCCAAATTCTGAGCAAGAAAACCCACATCCAAGGAAAAACACAATGGAAGCCCCCCCATAACCTCAATTCCAGGGAGCATTTAAGACTGCCAAGACCTACAGTCTCTTTGCGACCGTCCAAATCCGGAAGTTTCCTGGCGATGCAGACTTCCGCCTTGGGATAGAGTGAGTGGCGTTGCAGAAACGTGAGGGCAGTGGTGGGATTTTCACAGGGGTAGGTCTGATAATCAGCCACACACCTGGATTCGGAAGAGAAATACAGACATGGATTACTTCCACAGTTCCACTAATTTTTGTCATTTTCTCAGGATGGCAATCCCAATAGGAGGGTCAAGGGCCACTACTGGGCTGCAGCCTATTCGAAACTGGACTGTGGGAGAACTGGGCAAGCGTGTGCTGCTCATACAAATGGACCTGTGTGTGCTTGTGTGCGCCTGCCACTCATACGCGTCCCCCTCACCCCCAGCACTAGGCCGGACTGCCAAGCTGGGACCCCGGCCTAGTGCTGGAGGTTTCTGTGGGCATGGCTTGGTGCGGGTGGCAGGGGAAGGATAATGCAAAATCTCTATTCCCCCCCCACTCCAAGGGAAGGATACTGCAAAATCCCCATTCCGTCCCCACTCCAGGGGAAGGATACTGCAAAATCCCCATTCCCTCCCCACTCCAAAGGAAGGATACTACAAAATCCCCATTCCCTCCCCACTCCAGGGGAAGGATACTGCAAAATCCCCATTCCCTCCCCACTCCAGGGGAAGGATACTGCAAAATCCCCATTCCCTCCCGATTAGCTGGGATTTGGGAGGCAGAGAATAGATGGGGGCAGGACCAGTCAGAGGTGGTATTTACCGGTTCTCTGAACTACTCAAAATTTCCGCTACCAGTTTGCCAAAACTGGTCAGAACCTGCTGAAACCCACCTCTGGACCCCAGGTTACAATGTGGCTCGGTGAGAACAAAGAAACAGAGTCCTGGTTACCTCACTTAAAAAATACACATTTATTCAGCCGAACAAAGGTGGGTTCTCCCATAAGATTGGAAGAACCCTGAATGCAGTTTGAAGCAAGTATATATAGATTTCTTATTTTTACTTAGTTACATTAGAGGAAACCAGCACACCATAGATAACTTACAGGCAGTCCTTAAGTTATGACCACAATTGAGCCCAAAATTCCCATCGCTGAGTGAGAAATTTGTGAAGTGAGTCTTGCCCCATTTTACGACTTTCCTCGCCACATTTGTTAAGTGAATCGTTGCCGTTGTCAAACTAACAACACGGCTATTAATAGAATCTGGCTTCCGCACTGACTGGTCCCGGGGTCGCAAAAAACGGTCACATGACCCCGGGAACCTGCAACTGTCATAAATGTGAGTCAGTTGCCAAGCGTCTGAATTTTCATCATGTGACCCTGGGGATGCTGCAATCGTCATAAGTGTGAAAAACGGTCATGAGTCACTTTTTTCAGTGCTGCTGTAACTTTGGACAGTCCTTAAATGAATTGTCATAAATTGAGGATTACTTATATTAACACACAAAGTTAACATATGTACCTAAGACCCAGGGGTGAAATGCTCCCGGTTCGGACTGGATTGCCCAATATGGTAGCAATGGAGGCAGGTGGTTCGGAGAACTGGTAGCAAAAATCCCTGCCGCCCCCCCATGCCCAGCTGAGCCGCACAATCAGAGGCTTTTTTTTTTTTTACTTTTTAAAGTATTTTTTCTTCGGCCGAAAAAATGCTTTTAAAAGTAAAAAAAAAAAGCCTCTGATGTTCGCACGGCTCAAATGGGATTGGCAGACCCTTTTAAAGGCCGGCCTTGAGAATGTTATCTGGGAGGAGTTCGATCCTGTGACTTCTGAGGACATGGACAGGATTCTGGGGAGGTTAAATGCAACCACATGTTTATTGGACCCGTGTCCTTCCTGGCTGGTACTGGCCACCCGGGAAGTTACACGAGGCTGGCTCCAGAGGATTATAAATGCTTCTCTGAGCGAGGGTTTCTTGCCTGAAAGAGGCGGTGGTGAGGCCCCTCCTCAAGAAGCCTTCTCTGGACCCGGCTGTTCTGGCAAATTACCATCCGGTCTCCAACCTTCGCTTTATTGTGAAGGTTGTTGAGAGTGTGGTTGCGCGACAGCTCCCGCAGTACCTAGATGAAACCGTCTATCTAGATCCATGCCAGTCCGGCTTCAGACCTGGGTACAGCACAGAGACGGCATTGGTCACATTGGTGGATGATCTCTGGAGGGCTCGGGACAGGGGTTGCTCCTCTGTCCTGGTCCTGTTAGATCTCTCAGCGGCTTTTGATACCATCGACCATGGTATCATGCTGCGTTGGGGGTGGGAGGCACCGTGCTGTGGTGGTTCTCCTCCTATCTCTCTGACTGGTCGCAGTCTGTGTTGGCAAGGGGGCAAAGGTCGACCTCGAGGTGCCTTGTTTGCGGGGTGCCGCAAGGATCGGTCCTCTCGCCGCTCCTGTTCAACATTTATGTGAAGCCGCTGGGTGAGATCATCCGTGGTTTTGGGCTGCGCTGCCAACTGTACGCTGATGATACTCAGCTGTACATCTCCATCCCTGACCACCCCAATGATGCCCTTGAAGTAATGTCCCAGTGCCTTGAAGCCGTGCGGGTCTGGATGGGGAGGAACAGGCTTCGACTCAACCCTTTCAAGACCGAGTGGCTGTGGATGCCGGTGTCCCGGTATAGCCAGCTGGTGCCATCGCTGGCTATTGGGGGTGAGTTACTGGCCCCCACAGAGGGGGCTCGCAACTTGGGTGTCTTCTGGATTCACGGCTGTCTTTGGAAGGGCATATGACGGCCGTGGCCAGGGGGGCCTTCTATCAGGTCCGCCTGATGCGCCAGTTGCGCCCCTTTCTGGATCTGGACTCCTTATGCACAGTCACCCATGCCCTCGTCACGTCTCGCCTGGACTACTGTAACGCTCTCTACATGGGGCTCCCCTTGAGGTGCACCCGGAGGCTCCAACTGGTCCAGAATGCAGCCGCGCGGGTGATTATGGGAGCCACAGGGCGCTCCCACATAATACTTCTGCGCGAGCTCAGTGGTCTTCCGGGTGCGCTTCAAGGTGTTGGTTCTCACCTTTAAAGCGCTCCATGACATAGGGCCGGGATATCTGCGAGACCGCCTGCTGCTACTGATAACCTCCCACCGGCCAGTACGCTCGCACAGAGAGGGCCTCCTCAGGGTGCCGTCGGCCAAGCAATGTTGGCTGGCGGCCCCCAGGGGGAGAGCCTTCTCTGTAGGGGCACCCACCCTGTGGAATGAGCTACCTCCTGGAATACGACTGATCCCAGACCTCTGCGCTTTCCAAAAGGCCCTGAAGACTTATTTATTCCAACAAGCTGGCCTAGCTTAAATGGTTTTAATGGGGTTTTTAAATTTTCGATTTTATTGATTCTGGGTTTTAAATTGGGAACTTTTCGATTTTGCAGATCTGGGATTTTAAATTGGAAATGCCGATGATTTAATTTATTTTAGTTTTTTCTTAACTTTTGTACTATATGTGTTTTAAGTTTGGCTGTCCACCGCCCTGAGTCCCCCTGGGAAGAAGGGCGGTATATAAGTTGAATCAATCAATCAAACAATCAATCAATCAATCAATCAATCAATAAGTAAATAAATAAATAAATAAATGCATTTTTTCTACAACCTCTTTCAGTTGAAGAGGTTGTAGAAAATATGGTTTTAAAAGTAAAAAAAAAAGTTGGCCACGCCCACCCAGTCACACTACACCCCCCGCCCACCAAAGCCAAGCCCACAGAACTGATAGTAACAAATTTTACATTTCACCACTGCTAAGACCTCTTTCACTGTGGTGTAAATCAAGGGCTACCTGTACAGGTAAGTTCAGATCTATGGCAGATCCAGGTGGTGAAAGACAAGAGGCATCGAGAGTATCAGTCCATACAGTGGCCGAAGGTCACACGACTGAATGGCTGACTAGGATGACGAATCCTCGATTTACCATTCATTTAGTGACCGTTCGAAGTTACAACGGCACTGAAAAATGTGACTCATGACCGTTTTTCACACTTACGACCGTTGCTCATATTTATGACAACTGCAGTGTCCTGGGGTCACGTGATCCCCTTTTGCGGGATTGTGGAAAAAGTTTTCTCCCTTTTCATGGATTGGGGAGACACAGAGAATAGATCAGAAGGCAGAAGATTTTGGGTGCACAAACCAGGGTTTAGAGCAGCGCGTCTCAAACATGGCCAGTTTAAGATGGATGGACGTCAACTCCCAGAATTCTGGCCTAGGCTGGGGGATTCTGGAAGTTGAAGTCCATCCTTCTTACAATGGCCCAGTTTGAGAAACACAGATTTAGAGCTTATCACAACCAAAGATGAGACACGCAACAAAATACAGTGGAATCATAGCTTGGCAGGGAGTCCACATGCTCATCGCCCAGAAGCGTCCAATGAGCAATGTCAAGGATATGCTTAATGACTGTGTTGCTAACTTCACCACTGCAGGGATTCACTTAACAACTTTGTCAAAGAAGTTCATAACATCAGGCCAAACTTTGCTTTACAGCTGTCTGGCTTAGCCACAGAAATTTGTGGCTCAATTGAGGTCGTCAGTCGAGAAAGCAAAAGAGATGGTTTGCGGTTGTGATACCGAAGGCCACTCACCGAATAAATCCCAGCATGCATTGGGGGTGCTCCTTGGTTAGGCCATACCGTTGCAGAATGACTCTTACGATCAGTGAGGCGTGGTCAACTTCTTCCAAATACTGATTGTACAGCGTCTTCCAAGAAATTCCCGTATTTTCCGGCATATAAGACGACTTGGCATATAAAACGACCCCCGACTTTTCCTGTTAAAATATAGGGTTTGGGCTATACTCGCCGTATAAGACTACCCCTCTTCCAACGCACACCAAATAAAAATTAAAAAACATCAACTGACTCACCCACAATGTAAAAGCAGCTGTGCTAGACCCAAAATGGCCCCTGCAACAAGCAGGAACTTCACACAGCCACAAAAAGCCCAAAAAAGCAACTTTCACACTTTACAACACAAAATTCCACATACAGCTTTGTGAGATTTTGTGTGTTTGAGTAGTTAGAGTGAAACACTACAGAAACACACTAAATCTCAGAAAGCTGCACAAATATTATTTTATTTTATTTTATTTTTATTTTTATATGAAAACTAAATTTAAAACTTCCTAAACTTTAAATGGCTAGGTCTAAAAAAGAACAACTAAAAAAAAAACCCAATTAACTATTTTTTTAAAGCTCCCAAAGGGGAAAAAAACTTACCCAATAGAACAGGGGTCTCCAACCTTGGCAACTTTAAGACTTGTAGACTTCAACTCCCAGAATTCCTCAGCCAGCTTTGTTTTGCTGGCTGAGGAATTCTGGGAGTTGAAGTCCACAACTCCCTGCCTGCTTGATTGCTGATGGAATGGATTCAGGCAAGCGAAGCAAGGCAAATGTTGCGACTAGCAGCTAAGGTAAGCAAGCTGGAGGGGGAAAACTTTTTTCCTTCTTCATGGCTCTGGCGATCCCAGCGGAGTTGCCTGATTAGCAGATCGTCAGAGCTTGGATCGCCAGAGCCATTTAAGGCTCGTCAGAGCCTTTCGGGCTGGTCTGCCTGGTTACAGGAGAACGACACCCGGCGTATAAGACGACCCCCGACTTTTGAGAAGATTTTCATGTGTTAAAAAGTCGTCTTATACGCCGGAAAATATGGTAACTAAAATTCCAGAGCAAACATTGGATATGACTTAGACCTGACTTTAATTTAGAATAACTTTACTGTCGCTTTAAATGTACACTAATCAGCATACATTAAAATGAAATTTCATGGCGTACAGTTCTCAAAGGGTCACCCCCTCCAATATACACTACATAAGCATGACTGTTCTGCCCCAGCCACGGATCCCAAAGAACACAGCACACACAAACTCTGAACAAAACTTAGTTTACTCAAATAATGCAGTTTTAAATGCCAGCTGTTAATAAGCATTCTTAACAGCCTGCCAGAATTCCACAGATAAGATAGTCAGAGTCTTACTGGAGTTGGCAGAAAGCCCAGAAATCAGTTGCAGAGAAATCCCAACACAATGATTAGCGAACTAAAGTTGTTTCCTGCAGCTTGTTGCAAGCTGCGTCCTTTCTTAAATAGGCTAAGGGAGTGGCCAATTAGCCCCAAGCCTTACTCTCGAGGAGACCTCCTCCTGAGGAACCACTCCTATCTTTTGGCAGCTCTGCGTGCCCGTACATTGAGAAGAGGCTCCTCCTCTTCATCCTCTGTACTTAAAGGAGCCTCTGGAGGTTCTGAAGGCCCTGACTGGATCCCTACCTCTGGCACCACATCTTCTTCAGCCTTCTTGCTGTCCAACTCGGGCGCCGGCTGCACAGGCTGCTGGCGCAGCACCACACCAGCCTCCTTGTCGTCGGGATCAGCAACAATCCGTGCAGGCCGCTGGCAGGCCACAACAATGACCAAATAAATAAATAAATGCAAAATTATGCATATACCCACATATATTATGTGACACATACAAAGAACACAATTTTTCCATATCATTTATAAAAAATATTTTTTAAATCCCGTCTTTAATATTTTTATGTGCAAGATTAAAACCTTAGTCACCAAGAAAAACAGGAGATTTGACTTCCAAGAACAGAAGAAGTGTGATACAATTCAAAACATTACCTACCTCCCCATAATTCAACAGTTGCACCGTTGTTTTGTTAATCACTTACAAAGCGTTATTAGCAGATACCTGTTAGATCAATATTGGTTAAATCTGGCAACTTTAAGACCTGTGGACTTCAATTCCCCAAATTCGCCAGCCAGCCATGACATGAGCGCAATCCCTTCCAATCTTTGAGGGGCTGCCCCAAAGAAGAGGGGGTCAACCTATTCTCCAAAGCACCTGAAGTCAGGACAAGAAGCAACAGAGGGAAACTAAGCAAGGAGAGAAGAAGCCTGGAATTAAGGAGAAATTTCCTGGCAGCGAGAACAATTAGCCAGAAGTTGTGGGTGCTCCAACACTGGAGGTTTTTAAGAAGAGATTGAACCATTTTCTGCCTCAGCAGGGGATTGGACTAGAAGACCTCCAAGGTCCCAATTAACTCTATTATTCTGTAAACAGAAGGGGGTTTTAAACAGGGGTATGTACCTGACTAGGGTTAGACCATGGAAGAAACTTTGTAAGGGAGACTGTGTCTGCACCAGGTCCTGTCCATCTTCCTGAAAACGTTGGAAGGGACCTTGGAGGTCTTGTAGTCCAACCTCTACTCAGGCAGGAGACTCTATACCAGGGATGGCAAACCTTTTTGCCATTGCATGCCAAAAGCGGGGGGAACGTGGGGAGGTCACGTACGTTTGTGTCCACATCCATAATTCAATGCACCTTGCCTCGCCGGGCATATGCGTGCAACCCTCCAACATTTGGCGCACAATGGCATGGTGGGCCTATTTTTCACCCTCCCAAGGCTCCAGAGGCTTTTTTGGATCCTGGGGAGGGCAAAAACAACCATCCCCACTCCGGGGCGGGGCCAGAAACAGCCCGTTTTCCCAACTTCCAGAAGGCCCGAAAATCAGCTGGCCGGCGCACGCATGCGCGCTGGAGCTGAGCTAGGGCAATGCTCGAATGCCCACAGATATGGCTCCATGCGCCACCTCTGGCACTCTTGCCATAGGTTCGCCATCATGGCCCTATACCATTTCAGACAAATGGTTGTCCAACATCTTCTTAAAAACTTCCAGCATTGGAGCATTCGCAACTTCTGGAGGCAAGTCGTTTCACTGATGAATTGTTCCAACTGTCAGGAAATTTCTCCTGAGTTCTAGGTTGCTTCTCTCCTTGATTGGTTTCCACCCGTTGCTTCTTGTCCTGCCTTCAGGGGCTTTGGAGAATAATTTGACCCCCTCTTCTTTCGGGCAACGTTTCAAATATTGGAAGACGAAATAAAGAGATGATGATACACTTCCAACACTTACACACCAGACAAAGGTTTTGGAGGAAATCAACCAGCGGTACCAGGGCAAAGATCTCCTGAAGGATTTCATCTGGCAGTTTCTCCATGATTACCTGAGATCCGTCATCCACGGATGTAGTTCCGGAGAGCTCAGGCTGGGCATCAGAAAGAGGATCCACCTCAACATCTTGAACTTCCTGCTGGACAGTTCCATCACTTGAGCTCTCTTCAGGAAGCCTCACCAACAATGGTTCTTGGACCTCTTGGCCAGCGCTTCCGTTGGAGTCGCTAGGTTCCGGGGACAAACAAAAAAGTTTTCTGGGCACCACTATGTTTCTTTCATCTGCAAGAAGAATACAAGAGTCGTCTGAGTCGGACACTGACTCAAGAGTGAAGTTCTCCATTAAGGCCCATATACTTAGAAATGCTTTGTTGAGGGTTTGGAAAAAATATCAATATAAGTTAAATTATAAGATACCTGTATGGGCAAATCCTAGACATGCAATAGAAAATATAAGTATAGAACAAAAACAGGAGGTGATTACCTATAAAGAGCTTCTTATTATGGAAAGGGGGATAATGTATTTGAAATCTTTAGATACATTGAGAGAAGAAGGTATAATTTATACATGGTTTCAGTACGGTCAACTTCAAGCTAGATGGAAGGAAGATCAAAAAACTGGCTTCGTGCAAAATGAGGAGAATTTGGTAAAACAAATTAGAGATCAAAAACAAATGCATATTAAAAGGCTGTATAATGCTTTATTGGAAATAGACTCTGAGACGGAACTGGTTAAAGATTGCATGATTAAATGGGCGCGAAATTTTCAAGAGCCAGTGATGATGGAGACTTGGGAAAAGATTTGGACTAGAAATGTGGAATTTACACAAGCATAAAATTTAAGAGAAAACTTTTATAAAATGTTTTATAGATGGCATTTAGATCCAAAAAAATTATCATGTATGTATCCTAATGTGCAAGCTAAATGTTGGAGATGTGACTGTGATGATGCAACTTATTATCATATATGGTGGACTTGTAGAAAAAATCAAAGCATTTTGGATAAAGATTTGGTGGGTGATGCAGAATATTTTTAAAAAAAGACTGAAATTTACTCCGCAGTTGTTTTTACTGGGTATAACTACGGACTGTACAGTTGCAGAGACTAAACTGATTTTGAACTTGATAACAGCAGCAAGATTGTTGATAGCACAACATTGGAAGAAGGATTTTTTGCCTACTATTGATGACTGGATATTGAAAGTAACTAATTTAGCTGAAATGGCTACAATTTCAGCATATTTGAAGGATCACACACAAGAAAGGTATATACAGGACTGGAGAAGATGGATTGATTATATTCAAAATAAGTATCAGACTAAAAAATATCAAATAGCTTATGAATGATTTTTTTTAACTGTATAAGCGCTATATACGTGATATTAGAAGTATTATGTCTAAGAAGTAGGATTTTATCTATGGGGGGTTAAGATTTTTTTTTTAGGGGGTGTTAGTTTAATGGTTAGTTAAGCAATTTAGCTTGTCGTTAAAAGTTAATAGAAATACCTTATGTTCTGCTCTGGGAAGTCGGGGAGGGGGAGGGGGGGTTGGGTGGGAGGGTTGTGGGGAAATTGTGTTTGTTTACTAATAAAACTTTTTCAATAAAAAAAAAAAGAGTGAAGTTCTCCAGATGTTCCTCATCTCTGATTTTGTGGCTTTCTGCCACATTATTGGAGCATCTTGAGATGTGGGATCTACTCCTGAAGTAAGCTGTGATGGTTCCTTGGTGGCCTGCGCACCCAACAGAGACAGAAAGGAAAGACAAATTACAGCAGCTTCAAAGGACAGCTGTGCCCAGGCAGAAAAGTGGGATGTCAGTAGACAGGAATCTGTACAGGTAGTCCTTGACTTAGAACAGTTCATTTAGTGACACTCTGAAGTTACAACTGCACTGAAAAAAGTGACTTACGACCATTTTCTACATTTGAGACGGTTGCAGCATCCTGTTAGGATATGGTGTAAGCCTAACAAATTGTCCAGGCAATATATGTGTTCTATAACTTTAAATGTATTCTGTAACTTTGAGATGTAATGCTGAGTAATTGTACTGCTGAGTCATTGTAATGACTAATGACTGCTGACTGAATGCTGACTGCAATTATCATAATTGTACTGTTGAGTCATTGCACTGCTGACTTCACTTATCTTAAGTGGATAATTACTAGTGTAAACTGTATATAAGGAGACAGCCAAGCTATAGTATTGTTGGATCTGCTCTCATCATTGCTTGGCTTGCTGCTTGATTGGAACTGTTACTGTCGGGTGAAGAAGCTCTCATCGTGGATGGATATGCTACCATCGTGATTTGTTACCAGCGTTGAATTGCTGTTTATTACCTACTGTTGTTTGTCTGGTAAGAAGATATCTGTAACTTCGGATTGATTTGAATGGCTAAAGACTTGGATTGACTAAAAGACTATGCAATTGTTTTTCACTACAAAGTAAAAGCTTTGTTAAACCAGTTTGTATGTATTGTATTCATTGCTCTCAGTACCGTTTCTCTGTGCACTTACTCTGCTGGTTGGTAACACAACAATATCCTTAACACATCCCTGTGGTCACATGATCAAAATTTGTACACTTGGCAACAGACTCATATTTATGACAGCTGCAGGGTACCAGGGACATGTAATCCTTTTGCAACCTTCTGACAAGCAAAGTCAAGGGAGAAGCCAGATTTGCTTAACAACCATGTTTCTCACTTAGCAACTCCAGTGATTCATTTAACTTCTGACCGTTACCATCTACTTCTGTCCTACTATCGCAGTACCATTGAGTGTCCTGACATACGGCATTCTTGCATGGTGTGGGAGCAGCTCTGTAGCGGACATAAAAGCTCTACAAAGAATCATTAAAGCTGCCCAGAATATCATCGGACTCCAGCTACCAGCCCTGGACAACATTTTTGAATCTTGCTGTTTGAGGAAGTTTCTCCGAGACTCTTCCCATCCTGCTTACAATCTTTTTGGACCGTTGCCTTCTGGCAGAAGAGACAGAACAATTCAAACTCGGACCACACGTCTTCTGAATAGTTTTTATCCCAGAGCTATAAGTGCACTCAACAATGAACTAAAGGGCCATTGTCAGTGAGCTGTTGGACAGCATTACTTGGTCTGTTGTGTGGATGCTTAGGTGGTTTAGGGGTGGGGAATTTTTGGTGGGTGGGGTGTGTTTGGGGATTGTCATGTGAGTTGGGTCGGGACTCTGGGTGTCATGTGAATTTCGTTGTATGGGTATACTGTGTATATATGTATAATGACAATAAACTTAAATTTAAACAACTGTGGCAAGCAAGATCATAAAATGCCAAAAAATATCAATTAACAGATATCTCGCTTAGCAGCAGAAATTTTGGCCTCAATTGGGGTCGTAAACTGAAGACTATCCGTATTGCCTTTCACATCTCCCATTTAAGCCTTCTTCCTGGTATCAGCACACACTTTTGTAAGAGTTACTTACAAAAGCTACAATCTTGAAACAAGTAGAAGAGAATGTGTAGGGTCCTTGATGTTCTCTGAGCTGGTGATTTTCTTGCAGATGTTTCATGACCCTACTACAGAACATCATCAGTGCTGGAAGAGTGGGATTTAGGAGGAGAAGGAGGAGGAAGGTGGATTCCTTGGTATTTCTGTGAGCTTGATGGTTTTTTGCAGATGTTTCATGACCCTACTAGGGAACATCCTCAGTGCTGGAAGAGTGGGGTTTGGGAGGAGGAGGAGGAGGAGGAGGAGGAGGAGGAGGGGGAGGAGGAGGAGGAGGAGAAGGAGAAGAGGAGGAGAAGAAGAAGAAGAAAAAAGGAGAAGGAGGAGGAGAAACAAGTAGAAGAGAATGTGTAGGGTCCTTGATGTTCTCTGAGCTTGGTGATTTTCTTGCAGATGTTTCATGACCCTACTAGGGAACATCATCAATGCTAGAAGGCAGTAAGTGGGGTTTGGAGAGAAGAGGAGGAGGAGGACTGAGAGGCCCTTGGTGCTCTTTGAGCTTGGTGGTTTTCTTGCAAATGTTTCATGACCCTACTAGGGAACATCATTAATGCTAGAATGGAGGGGTAATTGTGGAGAGGAAAAAGAGTACTGTGGGGTCCTTGGTACCCTTTGAGATTGGCTGTTTTCTTGCAGACATTTCATGACCCTTCTAGGTAATATCATCAGTGCTAGAAGGAGGTGGGGTCTGCTCTCTATATACAGCTGCCTATATAAACAGGGAGTCAACCTCTAACAACAGGGAACAAATGACAAACGGAAAACCAACGTGTTGTAACGCATCCTGCAAATCTTGCATTGCAACAGGACAATGCTGCTTGGACTGATTTAACCAAAAGCATGAGAGACAGGAAGTGCCACCAGGAAACCATTCACTAATTTTTTTCAGAAAAGCAGCTGCTTGGTCTTGCAACACAATGCAAGATTCATCACACCTGTGGAATGCCTCCTTTTCTGAGGAGTTGGGCAAAAGCCTCCATAGGAATCTTGGCTGCCCGGACTCGGGGTGGAGGGATGCTTCAGGGCGGCCGTGCCTTCTGGGCTCTGAGGAGCATCTTTACAATCACTTGCTGTCAGGTCCGGTTCCTTGAAAGAGCTCACTGACCCAGAAGAAAAAACAGAGAAAAATGGCACTGGGGACTGAAGATCTCCTAGTAAAAGACAAAACCAGGATCCCATTGCAACCCAGACCCTGCCCTCTGCAAACCGCAATTGATGGTTTAAGTGGGGCCACTGCCAATCCCCACAGAAGCCTCTAATCTCCTATCCCCCTTGTCTCCCTCAGGCTGCCCCATAGATCCCTTCCTATCCCCCTTCTCTCCCTGAGGCTGGCCCCATAGATTCTCTCCTATCCCCTTCTCTCCCTCAGGCTGCCCCCATAGATCCCTTTCTATCCCCCTCCTCTCCCTCAGGCTGCCCCCATAAACCCCTTCCTATCCCCCTTCTCTCGCTCAGGCTGCACCCATAGATCCCTTCCTATCCCCCTCCCTCAGGGTGGCCCCATAGATCCTCTCCTATCCCCCTTCCCTCCCTCCAGGCTGCCCCATAGATCCTCTCCTATTCTCCTTTTCTCCCTCAGGCTGCCCCATAGATCCTCTCCTATTCCCCTTCTTCCTCAGGCTGCCCCCCATAGATCCCTTCCTATCCCCCTTCTCTCCCTCAGGCTGCCCCCATAGATCCTCTCCTATTCTCCTTTTCTCCCTCAGGCTGCCCCATAGATCCTCTCCTATTCTCCTTTTCTCTCTCAGGCTGCCCCCATAGATCCCTTCCTATGCCCCTTCTCTCCCTCATGCTGCCCCCATAGATTCTCTCCTATTCCCTTCTCTCCCTCAGGCTGCCCCCATAGATCCTCTCCTATTCTCCTTCTCTCCCTCAGGGTGGCCCCATAGATCCTCTCCTATTCCCCTTCTCTCCCTCAGGCTGCCCCCCCCATAGATCCCTTCCTATCCCCCTTCTCTCCCTCAGGGTGGCCCCATAGATCCTCTCCTATTCCCTTCTCTCCCTCAGGCTGCCCCCCCCATAGATCCCTTCCTATCCCCTTCTCTCCCTCAGGCTGCCCCATAGATCCTCTCCTATTCCCCTTCTCTTCCTCAGGCTGCCCCCCATAGATCCCTTCCTATCCCCCTTCTCTCCCTCAGGCTGCCCCATAGATCCTCTCCTATTCTCCTTTTCTCCCTCATGCTGCCCCCATAGATTCTCTTCCTATTCCCTTCTCACCCTCAGGCTGCCCCCATAGATCCTCTCCTATTCTCCTTCTCTCCCTCAGGGTGGCCCCATTTCCTCTCCTATTCCCCTTCTCTCCCTCAGGCTGCCCCCCCCCATAGATCCCTTCCTATCCCCCTTCTCTCCCTCAGGGTGGCCCCATAGATCCTCTCCTATTCCCCTTCTCTCCCTCAGGCTGCCCCCCCCCCATAGATCCCTTCCTATCCCCTTCTCTCCCTCAGGCTGCCCCATAGATCCTCTCCTATTCCCCTTCTCTTCCTCAGGCTGCCCCCATAGATCCCTTCCTATCCCCCTTCTCTCCCTCAGGCTGCCCCATAGATCCTCTCCTATTTCCTTTTCTCCCTCATGCTGCCCCATGGATTCTCTCCTATTCCCTTCTCACCCTCAGGCTGCCCCCATAGATCCTCTCCTAGTCTCCTTCTCTCCTCAGGCTGCCCCCATAGATCCCTTCCTCTCTCCCTCAGGGTGGCCCTATAGATTCTCTCCTATGCCCTTCTCTAACTCAGGCTGCCCCATAGATTCTCTCCTATTCCCTTCTCTCCCTTAGGCTGCCCCATAGATTCTCTCATATTCCCTTCTCTCCCTCAGGCTGCCCCCTTAGATCCCTTCCTATCCCCGTTCTCTCCCTCAGGCTGCCCCATAGATCCTCTCCTATTCCCCTTCTCTCCCTTAGGCTGCCCCCATAGATCCCTTCCTCTCTCCCTCAGGGTGGCCCTATAGATTCTCTCCTATGCCCTTCTCTCCGTCAGGCTGCCCCCATAGATCCCTTCCTCTCTCCCTCAGGCTGCCCCACAGATTCTCTCCTATTCCTTCTCTCCCTCAGGGTGGCCCCATAGATCCCTTCCTATCCCCCTTCTCTCCCTCAGGGTGGCCCCATAGATCCTCTCCTATTCCCCTTCTCTCCCTCAGGCTGCCCCCCCCATAGATCCCTTCCTATCCCCCTTCTCTCCCTCAGGCTGCCCCATAGATCCTCTCCTATTCCCCTTCTCTTCCTCAGGCTGCCCCCATAGATCCCTTCCTATCCCCCTTCTCTCCTCAGGCTGCCCCATAGAGCCTCTCCTATTCCTTTTCTCTCTCAGGCTGCCCCCCATAGATCCCTTCCTATGCCCCTTCTCTCCCTCATGCTGCCCCCATAGATTCTCTCCTATTCCCTTCTCTCCCTCAGGCTGCCCCATAGATCCTCTCCTATTCTCCTTCTCTCCCTCAGGCTGCCCCCCATAGATCCCTTCCTATGCCCCTTCTCTCCCTCATGCTGCCCCCATAGATTCTCTCCTATTCCCTTCTCTCCCTCAGGCTGCCCCATAGATCCTCTCCTATTCCCCTTCTCTCCCTCAGGCTGCCCCCCATAGATCCCTTCCTATCCCCTTCTCTCCCTCAGGCTGCCCCATAGAGCCTCTCCTATTCTCCTTTTCTCTCTCAGGCTGCCCCCATAGATCCCTTCCTATGCCCCTTCTCTCCCTCATGCTGCCCCATAGATTCTCTCCTATTCCCTTCTCTCCCTCAGGCTGCCCCATAGATCCTCTCTATTCTCCTTCTCTCCCTCAGGATGGCCCCATAGATCCCTCTCCTATTCCCCTTCTCCCCTCAGGGTGCTCCATAGATCCTCTCCTATTCCCCTTCTCTCCCTCAGGCTGCCCCCATAGATCCCTTCCTCTCTCCCTCAGGCTGCCCCCACAGATTCTCTCCTATTCCTTCTCTCCCTCAGGGTGGCCCCATAGATCCCTTCCTATCCCCCTTCTCTCCCTCAGGGTGGCTCCATAGATCCCTTCCTATTCCCCTTCTCTCTCAGGCTGCCCCATAGATCTCTCCTATTCTCCTTCTCTCCCTCAGGCTGCCCCCCCATAGATCCCTTCCTATCCCCCTTCTCTCCCTCAGGGTGGCCCCATAGATCCTCTCCTATTCCCTTCTTTCCCTTAGGCTGCCCCCATAGATTCTCTCCTATTCCCCTTCTCTCCCTCAGGGTGGCCCCATAGATCCTCTCCTATTTCCCTTCTCTCCCTCAGGGTGGCTCCATAGATCCTCTCCTATTCCCCTTCTCTCCCTCAGGCTGCCCCCCATAGATCCCTTCCTATCCCCTTCTCTCCCTCAGGGTGGCCCCATATATCCTTTCCTATCCCCCTTCTCTCCCTCAGGGTGGCCCCATAGATCCTCTCCTATCCCCCTTCTCTCCCTCAGGCTGCCCCCATAGATCCCTTCCTATCCCCCTTCTCTCCCTCAGGGTGGCCCCATAGAGTCTCCCCTATTCCCTTCTCTCCCTCAGGTGCCCCCCCCCATAGATCCCTTCCTATCCCCCTTCTCTCCCTCAGGGTGGCCCCATAGATTCTCTCCTATTCCCCTTCTCTCCCTCAGGGTGGCCCCCCATAGATTCTCTCCTATTCCCTTCTCTCCCTCAGGCTGCCCCATAGATCCTCTCCTATTCTCCTTCTCTCCCTCAGGCTGCCCCCCATAGAACCTTTCCTATCCCCCTTCTCTCCCTCTGGGTGGCCCCATAGAGTCTCCCTATTCCCTTCTCTCCCTCAGGCTGCCCCCCATAGATCCCTTCCTATCCCCCTTCTCTCCCTCAGGGTGGCCCCATAGATCCTCTTCCTATTCCCCTTCTCTCCCTCAGGGTGGCCCCATAGATCCTCTCCTATCCCCTTCTCTCCCTCAGGCTGCCCCCATAGATCCCTTCCTCTCTCCCTCAGGCTGCCCCCATAGATCCCTTCCTCTCTCCTTTTCCTTCTCTCCCTCAGGCTGCCCCCATAGATCCCTTCCTCTCTTGCTCAGGCTGCCCCCATAGATTCTCTCCTATTACCTTCTCTCCCTCAGGGTGGCCCCATAGATCCCTTCCTATCCCCTTCTCTCCCTCAGGCTGCCCCCATAGATCCTCTCCTATTCCCTTCTCTCCCTTAGGCTGCCCCATAGATCCCTTCCTCTCTCCCTCAGGGTGGCCCTATAGATTCTCTCCTATGCCCTTCTCTCCCTCAGGCTGCCCCATAGATCCCTTCCTCTCTCCCTCAGGCTGCCCCCATAGATTCTCTCCTATTCCCTTCTCTCCCTCAGGCTGCCCCCATAGATCCCTTCCTCTCTTCCTCAGGCTGCCCCCATAGATTCTCTCCTATTACCTTCTCTCCCTCAGGGTGGCCCCATAGATCCCTTCCTATCCCCTTCTCTCCCTCAGGCTGCCCCCATAGGTCCTCTCCTATTCCCCTTCTCTCCCTTAGGCTGCCCCATAGATCCCTTCCTCTCTCCCTCAGGGTGGCCCTATAGATTCTCTCCTATGCCCTTCTCTCCCTCAGGCTGCCCCCAAAGATTCTCTCCTATTCCCCTTCTCTCCCTTAGGCTGCCCCATAGATTCTCTCCTATTCCCTTCTCTCCCTCAGGCTGCCCCCATAGATCCCTTCCTATCCCGTTCTCTCCCTCAGGCTGCCCCCATAGATCCTCTCCTATTCCCCTTCTCTCCTCAGGCTGCCCCCCATAGATCTCTTCCTATCCGCCTTCTCTCCCTCAGGCTGCCCCCATAGATCCTCTCCTATTCCCTTCTCTCCCTCAGGCTGCCCCCCCATAGATCTCTTCCTATCCCCCTTCTCTCCCTCAGGCTGCCCCCATAGATTCTCTCCTATTCCCTTCTCTCCCTCAGGCTGCCCCCCCCCCCGATAGATCTCTTCCTATCCCCTTCTCTCCCTCAGGCTGCCCCCATAGATCCTCTCCTATTCTCCTTTTCTCCCTCAGGCTGCCCCATAGGTTCTCTCCTATTCTCCTTCTCTCCCTCAGGCTGCCCCCATAGATCCCTTCCTATCCCCTTCTCTCCCTCAGGCTGCCCCCATAGATCCCTTCCTCTCTCCCTCAGGCTGCCCCCATAGATTCTCTCCTATTCCCTTCTCTCCCTCAGGCTGCC